TCCATGGACAGCTTTCAGGCGGAGGACTCAGAGCTGGATCAGGCACAGCATCTGGATGTTACTGACTTCAGGTTTCGCCAAATTGCCCAGCACACAGAGATGGACGATGTATTACAAGCTTTGACATCAGTAATCCTCAGGGGATGGCCTGATTTCAAAGAGGACACCCCCCTCTTGGTGCGAGAATACTGGCCCTTCAGGGATGAGCTCAATGTGCAAAACAGTGTGCTATACAGAGGGAAGTGCGTTGTTATCCCTAAGGCCTTGAAGGCAGAGTTGTTAAGACGCATACACACCAGCCACATCGGGGGGGGAGGCATGTTACAGGCGCGCCAGGGATATGCTGTTCTGGCCAAACATGAGAGCAAAGATAAAAGACTATGTGTCGAACTGCTCTGCATGCAATTAATATGCACGAGCCCAGCAGAAGGAATCATTGATGTTGCATGATATCCCAACACATCCATGGCAAACAGTGAGTATGGATATCTTCTCTTACGCTGGCCAAGATTTCATCGTCCTAGTGGACCACTATTCAGACTTCTGGAAGATTGATCTTCTGCCGGATCTATCAGCTGACACTCTCATCACACGCTGTAAATCTCAATTTGCACGCTACGGACAGCCAGACAAAGTGCTCACAGATAATGGCCCACAGTTTGCCTGTGAACAGTTCAGGAAGTTTGCTGCAAAGTGGGTATTTAACCATGTCACATCCTCACCCAGATATCCAAAATCAAACGGCAAAGCTGAGTCAGCTGTCAAGATAGTGAAATCACTCTGCAAGCGGGCAAAGTTGGATGGCACGGATAAATGGCAGGCAATTCTCCATTGGCGCAACACGCCCACAGAAGGGATGGACAGCAGTCCAGCCCAACGCTTAATGTCACGAAGGCTGAAGACTTCGCTGCCGGTTGCGGACAGCTTGCTGCAACCGTGGTTAGTGACTGGAGTGACGGAGAAGCTGCGGTTGAAACTGCGGCTTGCAAAATCCGCCTACGACATATCGGCAAGGGACTTACCAGAACTGAATGTTGGGGAACACATAAGGATGAGGCCTGTTCCAGGAGATCGCACAGGCCATTGGCAACTGGGTCAATGCCTCCAGAAAGTCGCTCCTCGCTCATTCGTAGTGGAGGTGGACGGCATGCTCTACAGGAGAAACCGGGTGGATCTGCGGGTTGCGGAGCACTCAGCCCGGATGCGACAGCTGGTAGGGCCGGAGCAAAGCAGCCACAGGGACCGGGGCCATGTCAACGCAGAGAGGGCTGCAGGTGGAGCCAGAACCGACCCGGTCCAGGATGACACAGGTTTGGGGGAGCCTACTCGTGGTGTGGTCGCCTGTTACGGCCGCCGCAGAGACTGAACCTGTGATACAACTGGGAACATTGTCACTAACTCTGTTGGACTGTTAAAAAAAATAAAATAATAATAATTGTTGGATATTATTGTTGGATATTATTATAGTTTTGTATCGGTACTTACATGGTTAAACAGTATTGTAATTGTTTTCATGTCTTGGAGGTTGACAATGTTAAAGTGTTAGCTTTACACAATGTAGCACTTACCTGCACTTTAAAGTGACATGCCGATGTTGTTTATAGCTAAAGGAAAGGAGATGTTACAGATATGGGCATCTGTTAATGCCTGTTATATAGTGACGCCTGTTGGCGCTTTAGTAAACTGCATGCTCACACAGTCTTACACTGTGATGTTCTATCCGCAAGCGTGGGAATATACATGTGATGGAGTTTTGAGTTACGGAATAAAGCTGCAGACTGAAACACTTTGTCTTATTGAAAAAAAACGTTTGGACCTTTTAAGTATTGTATTTGAGTAGGCCTACCCATGCTTTAAACTGTCGGACGCGGAGTTTCTGAAGATGGACAATAGACATTTTTTTAATAAAAAAGACGGCAATTCTCAAGTGTTGGCTCACACAACAACCCCAGAGCCACCACCTGAGCCAGGTGAACAAGGTATGTAAATGTCTGTAAACTTCCAAGTTATGCGAACATGTAAGCAAAGCATAAATTACAGCTACGTTGACGTTACTTTGAATCGCGCGGGTAAGCTAAACCGTAGCTATAGCTAGCCAGAGATATTAAATAAACACTTTGTCATAAAATCTAAATGTTGTGTTTTTTAGCGTTACCTGGTGATTTCAAAGAAAGCTCTCTGGGAAATGTTGACTTACTGTCAGTGTTCGACATGAAGCTAGAAGCTACAGTACACAGTTGATCCTGAGTCCTGTCAGTTAAAGTGTTTCATAGTTAGCTTAGCTAAGCATCAACCTAGCACTGAAATATATGGATCTTATGTGACCGTATTTCTGATAAAAAGTCAGCTGAAATGGTGGCATAGTTGCCACTGCTTTACGTGTCAACAGCATGTTTGAACGTAAGCAGTAAATGTGGCTGTTTGGCCACTGACGTTGCCATAACAACACCTGCATTTAAATGTGCAACCTCTTTTTGTGACAGATTTTTGCATGAAATTATAATTATTCTGATATATATTTCCTATTGACAGCTAGTTTCTATGTGAACATATGTGGACAGCTAGCTAACAAGCTTTTTATACAAATATTTCAGATCAAAGCTAATCCAGTGGAGCTCCTGAAAGGGGGCAAGGGACACTATGGTCCCAAATGTATATTAAGCCTTGACCCCCATCTTAAAATAGATATAATAATAATAATAATGCATTACATTTTTTTTTTTATTAGAGCGCTTTTACAGGTGCTCAAAGCGCTTTACAAGTACACATTACACATATTAGACATGTAAGAGTCATTACTGCGGACATTACCCACAGGAGCAAATGCGGGTAAAGAGTCTTGCCCAAGGACACAACGGCCTGACGCAGTGGCGGCCGAGGCGGGATTCGAACTGGAGTTCACCAACGCCCACTGCGCCAAAACCGCCCCTAATATGATACAAAAAATGTGTCGGAGGCCTTTTTTCCTCATTATCATGTCAAATTGTACAGCTTTCCTAATGCAGAAAGATGACTATATTAGAGTATTAAGTGAAAATGACTATATTAAAGTGTTAAGTGAATATATTAAGTGAATTACTCAAACTGCATTTGTATAGCAGTGATGCAAATGAGTCGCTTTTCGACGCCTCCCGCTTTTTTAACGCTGATTTGGGTGACTTATGTATCAGTAGCCTACTTAGTTACCATTTTCAGTAACCATGCCAGGGGGGAGAAGTTGACCGCGGTGAAGATAGTTTTAGGTTGGATATTCGACATACATTCGCGGACCAGCCAGCAGCGTCAGTTTCCCCTGCTGTTGTCTGTATTACAACGGCGAGATCTCCTCCGCGAAACGAGGTTTTCATTTAGGGACCATCAACAAATGACTTTTCAATTACACAAGAACAATGTTCTTTTTAATAAATCGACAGCTTCCTGATCATGTGAATGTGAAACAAATCCACTCTAGAGCATACATTTGTTGAACACACCTCTTTTTATTCCATTTTAATACTTTAAATATGTTTTATTAGTATTATTTATGGAGAAATTAGCATATGGCTTCAATAATTACCAGGTCATGTGACTTAATCACTCAAAATGAAGCTATGGATCAAATAACTACACTGGCTGCAGGACACACCTCTTTTTGTTGCATGTTCATCCTCTAAATATTTTTATATTAATATTTTGATGGAAAAATGAGCAAATGTCTTCAATAACTTCCAGGTCATGTGACCTAATTACTCAAAATCAGTGCTGGGTCAAATAACTACACTGGCTGCATTAGACACACCAAGGAGCTGGTGGTGGATTTCAGACGGTGCCAACACTCCCCCCGACACCAGTGAACATCCAGGGAGCGGACATTGAGATTGTGAAATCTTACAAATACCTGGGTGTTCATCTGAACAATAAACTGGACTGGACTGATAATGCTGCTGCTCTGTACAAGAAGGGACAGAGCAGACTCTTCCTGCTGAGGAGAGTGGGGTCTTTCGGGGTGCAGGGGGCACTCCTTCAGACATTTCATGACTCTGTTCTGTCCTCACTGTGCAGCTCCTTCAGCGACAGGCTGCTGCCCCCCGGTGTCACGGAGAGACACCGCAGGTCCTTCCTTCCTGTCAGACTTTACAACCAGCACAGCCCCCTAGTAGACCCCCCCCCCCACACACACACAAACACACACACACACACACACACACACACACACACACACACACACCACACACACACACACACACACACACACACACACACACACACACACACACACACACACACACACACACACACACACACACACACACACACACACACACACACACACACACACACACACACACCAGACTATAACACTCCTTGCTGTTAAATACCAACCACCTATGTGCAATATGTGCTATATGTGCAATATATACCTGGCTGCTAAATCCTACTGTTACAGGATGTGTATTTTGTAAATTGTGTAACTTTTTATTTGTATTATATTTTTGTATTATATCACAACTTATTTTTTTACTTTAACACTTTTTAATGCATGCCATATGTAACATTAAGGTGTCTTTGGCTCTTTTCTGCTGTAACTACGTAAAAGTCCCCTCTGTGGGACTAATACAGATATTCTGATTATGTGTGTGTGTGTGTGTGTGCTTAAGACTCAATCAGCAGGTTCTGATCAGCGATTGGTTCTCAGTATGCAGACAAAGTCTCACTAAGAGTCCTCTAGTCAGCGGCAAATATGGTTTCACCCCAAATACAATTGCAACGTCCTGTTTCTTCGACGTCTTCCCGGTTTGTTTATAGTTTTCTGTTTGCTTCGTTCCTCTTTGTCTAACCTCCTGCAGTGTTTGTGTTTATTTAGTAACAGCTTTAATTAAAGCTCGCTTTTTATTACACTCTTATACCTGCCTCTGCGGTTTAATTCTGCATTTGTACGCTGTTTTAAAACCACGAAAACACAAATCCAGGTCTTCATCACGTGCATCTTCTTCATCTCCAGCTCACATTCAATACACCAGTTTTACAGTTGTAACCATCTTTATGAAGGCAAGCACAAAAGTCATGCAGTCAAATTAAAAAGCCATTCAATCCAGAAACTGAATGTACATTTGAACATAAAGTAGGGATTGCCCACAGAAGGAAAGCTTTATTTTGAATAAAAGCTAGTCAACATAAAGACAAGAAGCTGTAGGAGCAGGTTGTTGTTCGGTTAAACAAAAAGAAAAGCAGAGATGAACAAAAACTAGAAACAAACCAGGAAGAATAAGAAGAAGAGATACGTGGAACCACATCCAAAATAAAATGCATCCGAAGGTTTCTAAATGGAGTTTTCTCCTGCAGTTTATATATATTTGAAAGTGTGAATCAGACATTAAGGCATTTCATATTTTGGCACGTACACTTTTAACTTTAGCAGCAGCTGGGTTAATGTCGCACAACACAGTGATACACAAGTATTAAGCATTACTGTTGTATCTGAATGGGTATTTAACAAAAGGAACTTCACTGTATTACAGATGTGATAATCTATATAAAACAGTATTAACCACAAAGTCATGCAGTCAAATTAAAGGGCCTTTAAATCCAGAAACTGAATGTTCACGAACATTTAAACATAAAGTAATGAAAAACATCTGAACAGGTTATATATGTCTCCATATTGAAACAGTCTGTTCTCCAGTTCTTTCTCTTCACTTCAAGCCGACGTGGATTTGGCACTTCGTCTAAAAACAGAGGAAGAAGAATCATTTTAACATTTTGTTTTACAATTTATACAAACGAGGGCTGCACTGAGTGCCCTTTATTTTAAATCTGAAGCTTGTCTCTTGATGATTTGATGATGTTGTCATGCTATGCTTCTTGTTGTGGTCACATGAAAGCAGCATGTGGTTCTGTATCGCCTGTCTTTAAAGGGTAACTGCTTTCAAATATCGAATATGGAGGAAAACATCTGGATTTTGGAAATGATTACAGCTATATTTATTGAGTTGATGTTACATTTTTGGACTTTACAACGCTCTGGAGTTATTGTAAATGTTAGGATTTATTTTTATATTTTATTTTTGACTAATGCCTACTAGTTAGAGTAGAACGCTCTGGAGCAGTGCTTCTCAAAGTGTGGTCCGCCCCCTAGTGGTCCGTGAGTATATTGGTAAAATGTCACATTTGAAATAAATAAATTAATTTAAGTTTTCCGCACTCTCGCAGGAATATCTCCGCAATGGAGCGAGTTTAAGTTTCATTTCGATTGCATGATATAGCCCAGATAAACACCTTCATCACACATGTTGCCACTTGTTTGTACCATTTTCAGGCGATTTGTAAAAAACGATGTGTTTTTAGATATTTGTGGAGTTAGATGGAGTGTTTTTTTTATTGGTTAAGTGGTCCTTGGTATGAAAACGTTTGAGAAACACTTAGTTATTGTAAATGTTAGGATTTATTTTTATATTTTATAAAGTAGCATGAAATGGAAATACTCAAGTAAAGTACAATGATCTCAAAGTACTTGAGTAAATGTACTTTACTTATCTGTGTACTTTGCACTCTAGACAGGTTTGTCTTATGTACTTGCAGGACTCTTGGTTTGTATCTTCATGGTTGATTACACATTATCGTCAGTCGCTTTGGAAAATGTAACGTAAACTAAATGAGAAGGTTTTTATTTCCTTTTTTTATTTGCCAATGTGAAGTCGTGGGTTTTCAATCTGCAACTGTGCTCCATACTGACTCCATACTCCATACTGACTCTAACCACAGTGAAAATCAGGCCAATAATACAATTAAAAAACACACACAGCTTAGCATGTTAATATTTAACTAGTATTCAACAGAGGTGGGAAGTACTGGGAGTACAAATACTTTGTTACTGTACTCAAGTACATTTTTCTGGTATCAGTACTTTACTCCACTACTTATTTTTCTGACGACTTTTTACTTTGACTTCTTACATGTTGAACACAAATACCTGTACTTTCTACTTCTTACATGTTGAACCCAAATACCTGTACTTTCTACTTCTTACATGTTGAACACAAATACCTGTACTTTCTACTTCTTACATGTTGAACACAAATACCTGTACTTTCTACTTCTCACATGTTGAACTCAAATACCTGTACTTTCTACTTCTTACATGTTGAACTCAAATACCTGTACTTTCTACTTCTTACATGTTGAACCCAAATACCTGTACTTTCTACTTCTTACATGTTGAACACAAATACCTGTACTTTCTACTTCTTACATGTTGAACACAAATACCTGTACTTTCTACTTCTTACATGTTGAACACAAATACCTGTACTTTCTACTTCTTACATGTTGAACACAAATACCTGTACTTTCTACTTCTTACATGTTGAACACAAATACCTGTACTTTCTACTTCTTACATGTTGAACCCAAATACCTGTACTTTCTACTTCTTACATGTTGAACCCAAATACCTGTACTTTCTACTTCTTACATGTTGAACACAAATACCTGTACTTTCTACTTCTTACATGTTGAACACAAATACCTGTACTTTCTACTTCTTACATGTTGAACACAAATACCTGTACTTTCTACTTCTTACATGTTGAACACTACATACCTGTACTTTCTACTTCTTACATGTTGACACAAATACCTGTACTTTCTACTTCTCTACATGTTGAACTAAATACCTGTACTTTCTACTTCTTACATGTTGAACACAAATACCTGTACTTTCTACTTCTTACATGTTGAACACAAATACCTGTACTTTCTACTTCTTACATGTTGAACACAAATACCTGTACTTTCTACTTCTTACATGTTGAACACAAATACCTGTACTTTCTACTTCTTACATGTTGAACCCAAATACCTGTACTTTCTACTTCTTACATGTTGAACACAAATACCTGTACTCTCTACTTCTTACATGTTGAACACAAATACCTGTACTTTCTACTTCTTACATGTTGAACACAAATACCTGTACTCTCTACTTCTTACATGTTGAACACAAATACCTGTACTTTCTACTTCTTACATGTTGAACTCAAATACCTGTACTTTCTACTTCTTACATGTTGAACACAAATACCTGTACTTTCTACTTCTTACATGTTGAACACAAATACCTGTACTTTCTACTTCTTACATGTTGAACACAAATACCTGTACTTTCTACTTCTCACATGTTGAACACAAATACCTGAACTTTCTACTTCTTACATGTTGAACACAAATACCTGTACTTTCTACTTCTTACATGTTGAACCCAAATACCTGTACTTTCTACTTCTTACATGTTGAACACAAATACCTGTACTTTCTACTTCTTACATGTTGAACACAAATACCTGTACTTTCTACTTCTCACATGTTGAACTCAAATACCTGTACTTTCTACTTCTTACATGTTGAACACAAATACCTGTACTTTCTACTTCTTACATGTTGAACCCAAATACCTGTACTTTCTACTTCTTACATGTTGAACACAAATACCTGTACTTCTACTTCTTACATGTTGAACACAAATACCTGTACTTTCTACTTCTTACATGTTGAACACAAATACCTGTACTTTCTACTTCTTACATGTTGAACCCAAATACCTGTACTTTCTACTTCTTACATGTTGAACACAAATACCTGTACTTTCTACTTCTTACATGTTGAACACAAATACCTGTACTTTCTACTTCTTACATGTTGAACACAAATACCTGTACTTTCTACTTCTTACATGTTGAACACAAATACCTGTACTTTCTACTTCTTACATGTTGAACCCAAATACCTGTACTTTCTACTTCTTACATGTTGAACACAAATACCTGTACTTTCTACTTCTCACATGTTGAACATAAATACCTGTACTTTCTACTTCTTACATGTTGAACACAAATACCTGTACTTTCTACTTCTTACATGTTGAACATAAATACCTGTACTTTCTACTTCTTACATGTTGAACACAAATACCTGTACTTTCTACTTCTCACATGTTGAACACAAATACCTGTACTTTCTACTTCTTACATGTTGAACACAAATACCTGTACTTTCTACTTCTTACATGTTGAACTCAAATACCTGTACTTTCTACTTCTTACATGTTGAACTCAAATACCTGTACTTTCTACTTCTTACATGTTGAACACAAATACCTGTACTTTCTACTTCTTACATTTTGAACCCAAATACCTGTACTTTCTACTTCTTACATGTTGAACACAAATACCTGTACTTCTACTTCTTACATGTTGAACACAAATACCTGTACTTTCTACTTCTTACATGTTGAACACAAATACCTGTACTTTCTACTTCTTACATGTTGAACACAAATACCTGTACTTTCTACTTCTTACATGTTAACACCAAATACCTGTACTTTCTACTTCTTACATGTTTAACACAAATACCTGTACTTTCTACTTCTTACATGTTGAACTCAAATACCTGTACTTTCTACTTCTTTCATGTTGAACACAAATACCTGTACTTTCTACTTCTCACATGTTAAACTCAAATACCTGTACTTTCTACTTCTTACATGTTGAACCCAAATACCTGTACTTTCTACTTCTTACATGTTGAACTCAAATACCTGTACTTTCTACTTCTTACATGTTGAACCCAAATACCTGTACTTTCTACTTCTTTTACATGTTGAACTCAATACCTGTACTTTTACTTCTTACATGTTGAACTCAAATACCTGTACTTTCTACTTCTTACATGTTGAACTCAAATACCTGTACTTTCTACTTCTTACATGTTTAACACAAATACCTGTACTTTCTACTTCTTACATGTTGAACCCAAATACCTGTACTTTCTACTTCTTACATGTTTAACACAAATACCTGTACTTTCTACTTCTTACATGTTTAACACAAATACCTGTACTTTCTACTTCTTACATGTTGAACTCAAATACCTGTACTTTCTACTTCTTACATGTTGAACTCAAATACCTGTACTTTCTACTTCTACATGTTGAACTCAAATACCTGTACTTTCTACTTCTTACATGTTGAACTCAAATACCTGTACTTTCTACTTTCTTACATGTTTAACACAAATACCTGTACTTTCTACTTCTTACATGTTGAACTCAAATACCTGTACTTTCTACTTCTTACATGTTGAACTCAAATACCTGTACTTTCTACATTCTTACATGTTGAACTAAATACCTGTACTTTCTACTTCTTACATGTTGAACTCCAAATACCTGTACTTTCTACTTCTTACATGTTGAACTCAAATACCTGTACTTTCTACTTCTTACATGTTGAACTCAAATACCTGTACTTTCTACTTCTTACATGTTGAACTCAAATACTTGTACTTTCTACTTCTCTCATTTCCCAAACAGCTGGTTCCTTTAGTCTGAATGTGTGTTTGATGCGTGATCATTATTCTTTAGAGTCATTGCGTGCCTATTGATTTGAACACGATCCGTGTATCCATCATTTCCTGGTCTTCTCTAAAGAAGAGGGACCAATGGAAACGTTGTCATGTTGCCGTTGTTCAGCATGGAAACATTCATTAGCTAACAATTACATTATTGTTCTATTAATATAAAGGGAGGTCAGGTACTCTTTAAAGCAGCTGCTAGTTATGGGTACTTTTTATTGAAGTACATTTCAAAGCCTCTTTACTTTCACTTGAGTAAAGACGTTTAGTCAGTACTTCTACTTTCACCAGAGTATTTTTAAACATCTGTACTTCTACTTAAGTAAAGGATGTGTGTACTTTGTCACATTATGAATGAAGTTACCTGGTGCCAGCGCAGAGTGGGGAGGGGCAGAGCCAGGTGGCAGTGAGGGCAACAGCTGATCTGATCCGGGTCTTCTTCCTCAAATGTATCACCTCTGGGGTCTCTGCTGGGTCTCTTTGACAGGAAGTGGGGGGTTTTGGAGGCAGTGGCCCCCCGCTCTGAAACATCCCACCCATTCCACTCTTCCTCTTCTGGCTTATCCTCCTCCTCATCATCCCCATCATCCTCATCATCTTCGTCCTCCTCCTCTTCATCCTTGTCATCCTGCAGCCTCCTGGAGGATGATGAGGAAACACACTCCATCTGGTTTGGATGAAATAAATACAGAGCTGAATCCCAGATCAAATGCTCGCTGCAGGCTCTTTGAGCAGGTTTTCTCTCAGTGATTGTGATGTTATGTTAAATGTTTGTTGTTTGTTTCTCATTTATTGTGTCTTGATATCTGTCTGTTGATGTTACACATGGAGCTGCTGTGATGTAACATTTCTGACTTAATCTGATCATTAAAGTATTATAGTATCGTATTATCGTATATAGATATAAATATTACTTGGATGTTGAAAACCAAATGTGATTGTTGACAGAAGAAGATTTATACCTCGTGTAGCTCTATGTCCTCGATTGGAAATGAGGCCAAACATCTGGTACAATTCACTGTTATAGTTGCTGTAAAAAGGGGAAGAGATATGGGAATTATTTAATAAAACAGACATGATAAAATACATCAGTAAATAATACCCCACTGTTGAATTTTAAAACGGCAGTTGCTAACAAGTGTCTAAATATGACGACTAAACGTCATCAGGCCCAACATTAGCAATCTTTAGCTTAGCGGTGGTGACGTGAAGTCATGTGATCGTGCTCTAGTTCCTTTATAGCCCAACATTAGTCTCCTTTATCTTAGCGGTGGTGACGTGAAGTCATGTGATCGTGCTCTAGTTCCTTTATAGCCCAACATTAGTCTCCTTTATCTTAGCGGTGGTGACGTGAAGTCATGTGACCGTGCTGTAGTTCCTTTATAGCCCAACATTAGCATCCTTTAGCTTAGCGGTGGTGACGTGAAGTCATGTGATCGTGCTCTAGTTCCTTTATAGCCCAACATTAGTCTCCTTTATCTTAGCGGTGGTGACGTGAAGTCATGTGACTGTGCTCTAGTTCCTTTATAGCCCAACATTAGTCTCCTTTATCTTAGCGGTGGTGACGTGAAGTCATGTGACCGTGCTGTAGTTCCTTTATAGCCCAACATTAGCCTCCTTTAGCTTAGTGGTGGTGACGTGAAGTCATGTGACCGTGCTGTAGTTCCTTTATAGCCCAACATTAGCCTCCTTTAGCTTAGCGGTGGTGTCTTGAAGTCATGTGACCGTGCTGTGGTTCCTTTATAGCCCAACATTAGCCTCCTTTAGCTTAGCGGTGGTGACGTGAAGTCATGTGACCGTGCTGTAGTTCCTTTATAGCCCAACATTAGCCTCCTTTAGCTTAGCGGTGGTGACGTGAAGTCATGTGACCGTGCTGTAGTTCCTTTATAGCCCAACATTAGCCGCCTTTAGCTTAGCGGTGGTGACGTGAAGTTATGTGATCGTGCTGTAGTTCCTTTAAAGCCCAACATTAGCAATTGCAATAATCTAAAAGGGCTTTTTTGTGTCGAAATACGTCATCCCAACACCCCTTTATTAAAGTAACCCCACCCCCCCTCTTACCTTTATGAGGTGTCAGTCCTCTGGTGTTCTCAGCAGGCTCTGATCCGCTCTGAGTCCCCGGACAGGTGGAGGTGTGTTCGTTTAGCAGCTTCAGAGTGATGTAGCGTCCGCAGTCCCTGCAGAGCTCTGTTCGACTCCCACACACCACAGAGTGATCCTGCAGGTTCTTCACAGGAAGCTCCAGATCACAGAAGAGACAGACCTGCAGACGCTGCTCACACTCAGCAGACTGAGAGACAGAGAACAGCTGATCAGAGGAGGGAAGATCCTGGGCAATTATTCAGGATATTTTATTATTTAAAGTTCTCAGATCTTGAACCACCAGCCTCACCTCATGGTCCAACAGCTGACATCGCTCCATCTTCTGGTGACACCTGGAGCATCTCACCTGCGAACAAACACAGCTGTAAACCCACGTGTGAGTATGTGTGTGTGGGTGTGTGTGTGAGACATGTCAATAAACAAAAATGTGCATTCAATACGGCTTTTAACTTTTAACAAACAACGATATTAAGTCAGAGATAAAAGAGGGAAATTGACGACAACAAAATAAATATGGCTGTTTTGAGGATGCAGTTAGACCAGTGTTGTAGTGTGTGTGTGTGTGTGTGTGTGTGTGTGTGTGGTGTGTGTGTGTGTGTGTGTGTGTGTGTGTGTGTGTGTGTGTGTGTGTGTGTGTGTGTGTGTGTGTGTGTGTGTGTGTGTGTGTGTGTGTGTGTGTGTGTGTGTGTGTGTGTGTGTGTGTGTGGTGTGTGTGTGTGTGTGTGTGTGTGTGTGTGTGTGTGTGTGTGTGTGTGTGTGTGTGTGTGTGTGTGTGTGTGTGTGTGTGTGTGGTGTGTGTGTGGTGTGTGTGTGTGTGTGGTGTGTGTGTGTGTGTGTGTGTGTGTGTGTGGTGTGTGTGTGTGTGTGGTGTGTGTGTGTGTGTGTGTGTGTGTGTGTGTGTGTGTGTGTGTGTGTGTGTGTACGTACCTCTGTGTGTTGCTCCTCCCGGTGTGTGTCCAGTTGTTCTCGAGGAACAGTTTCCTCACACTCGGGGCAGAGCACCAGGAAGCGGCTGCAGTGAGTTTCATGCAGAGCGAAGTTTACCTCTGCTACTTCTTTGTGGCTGTGGGAGGAGAGAGGGACAAGTTGATTACAAATTAAAATACTGTCTAGTAATAAGCACAACATTTGAATTAAATACGTGAGAATATCTGAATGAAGTATTATGGAGCTGCCGGAGAGTCACAGCCTTCAACAGACTTGACAAAAAGTCCTTGTTTGGCGCGGATCCTCTTGGTTATTTCCATGGTTATTTCAATATAATGTTTCATATTGTAACGATCACAAAGGGAGTCGGAAACAGCCTGCTAGTTATTAGGCTTTAATAACTTATTCTTATTCACGGATGATCACAGGTTCAGGAACAGCTTGTGGGTTCAACCTCACACTCACTCTAATTTTTATTTTATTGACGTAGAAGAAAATCTGCTTTGAGATTAAAACCCCTTCGCTTTTAAATATTCTTTATATAGTCCCTTATGGTGACAGGAGTCTAAACAGATATAGATTTCTTAATTAACTAGAAACTTTAATGGCAAACATATTCAAACATTAGTCCTTCCTGTAGCAATCCAGGGAGTTCCTTATATAGGTCCATCTAAATATAGAAAGTGAAAGTGACTGAGTTTCCTCTCAGGCTGCAGACAACAGTGAAACAAAAGTGTTGAGGTATAACCATAGGGTATAACATACAGAGATATGTATGACTCCATGTATTACTGTGTAACATATTGTTTATATAAGTAGCTGCGACTACTACTGTGTGCATTGGGTAGCCTGTGGCACATGATTGTGAAAGAGCATATACCCCACTACCTGGGGTATATGACAGTTGGAGTCACGCCCCTTCTTCGTCGGTTCTCATGTCTCTCGACTTGTGTGCATCTAATAAATAACGCCGAGATGAATGGCTAAACTAGAACTGTGAGAATAGTCACCTTTCTGCTGCAGATCGACAAAAGGTCTAAATCTGCTAACAAAAAGTAAAACTATATCTGACACATGACTAATTAAACAAAAGAAACACAAACAAACAAGTCATTATGCAAAACTAATACATAAGACTACAAAAATATAAAAAATGACAAAAAACCCACAAAATGACCAACATATTGGGCAACACCACACAAATAGAAGTAATAAATACAATTGACACAAATTACATACAAAATGACCACACAGAGAAACACAACAACTACACGCAACAACATTGTGACCAGAGATTAAAAGCACATCTACAGAAATGACCAAAACAACAGAAAATGACGACGAAAAGTTTCAAAATCACCACAAAAAGAGGCTAGAAATAACGTGTGTTCCTCCTTAGTTTAGCATTGATTCTGCATTTCTGTCGGACAATGTGTTCAGATTTAGATAACCTTTTAGATAAAGCACCAACAAGGACTTTAGCCCTGCTCTCTGCTCGTTGAACTGTTCGTTAAACAGAAAATCTCACTGAAATCTTTAACTTCTGTCCACACTGAAGAGTTCCTTATCGGATCGGGGACCCTGATGTAAACAAGACGAAAGTCTTTCTCTGGTCTGCATCCCCTTAACAATTGTATGTTTTGAGCTGTACTGTACTGTACCCAATATACAAGCTGTTAATAAACTTTTCAATCAATCAATCGCTTCCTACATTCAATATACAGCACGATATATATGCCTACTTATTGTCAAAACGACTTTAAAACACACTTTTTAAAGTGATTTGCACCGGATGTCCCTGAACTCACCACTGCCCGCAGGTGCGCGTGTCCTCCCGTTTCTCCATTTGACAGAAATCCTGGAAGAATGAGGCTCTGGAAGCACAACAAGTTTAACTTTCTCACTTAAGAGCTTCGTTTCCATTCAGCAGAATAGAAAGTGAAATCATTTTCCTCCACCTGCTGTTATTCTGCGCAGCTGCCACACGGGGGCGACAAACACCAGCGAGAGAAGGAGGAAAGGAAGGAAGGAGAAGTCTAGGAGGCGAGGAGTTAGTCACTACTGTGTTATTCTGTTAAAGAAAATTAGATATAACATTGTATGTAGTTATTATGGGTGTAATGTTATTAATATACTTGTTGACCACTTGTTGCATCCTTTTGTGTAACCTTTGACTCTCAATCCAAGAAAGAAAGAGAATTAACATGTTCTTATATACGCTTCATGTTTAAAATATAGTCTCTTTTTTGGAAATGTGACTTATTTTGCATCTCTTTTTGTACACATGTTGCATCCTTTTGTATAACCTTTGACCCTTTGAAGAGAACAGCATGAGGAAAGGAAGGAAAGAAGGAAGGAGGCCAGGAGGCTAGTGCAATAGATACGCAGAAGTCCTTTTTTGCGTGCATATGATACTCCCACGTTACGTTTGTTATGAACGCATCTCAAATGCGTTTATTTTCTACATATCTTTGCCATTTATTTAACTCTAACCATAACCATAACCCAATAAGCTGCTGTGTCGTTTATTGCACCGCAAACATTAAAACTGTCATTGGAACGGCGATCCAGCCTGAAGCCACAGAGCTCTTTGTTGTAATGTTTGAGGTGCATCATATGCACGCAGAAACGGACTTCTGCGTATCTATTGCACGCCTTTGCAAAGTCGTGTCATTTGTACGCAGACTGTGAGACCGGTTGGTTATTCTGTTAAAGAGAATTAGAAGTAACATGTTCTGTATTATATACGTTTCATGCTGTGAATGTCTCTTGTTTTGTTATTTTGACCACTCTGTGTAACCTTTGACTCTCAATCCAAACCAAATATTAAAACTGCACCAGACAAGTTGGACGCACCCCTTTTCAGACTGAACCCTCTGCAGAAATCAATACTTTCTTAAATTACAAGTGCCAGTTTAACATTTGAGTGAAAGCTTTTGTCGTCATGCACAGCTGCCACAAGGGGGCGACAAACACCAGGAGAGCAGCAAGAGGAAAGGAAGGAAGGAGGCTAGGAGTTAAAGAATATATTTAAACTGCTCTAGACAAGTTGGACGCACCCCTTTTCAGAGAATGAACCCTATCAAAGTCGTATGTTTTTTGGCTCTGCAGAAATCCTTAGGGCATTAATAAATACTTTCTTTGTGCCAGTTCAACATTTGAGAGAAAGCTTTTGTTGTCATGCATTATCAGTCATTAGTCACATGACCACAGACATGTTAAGGCTCCTGACCCCCTCTTAAAAACTAGAGCTGTTAAAGATCAGATATTCACTTCTACACTCAAACAGGACATTTCAAGAAGCCTGGTCCTTTCTTTCTGCAACTTAGGCATGTGTGTTTGTATAAGTATATGTTTCATGTATGTATGTGCATATGTATGACATGCATATATATATATATATATATTCAACTACATTTCTAGTGAATATGTGTGGGTATGATTCTCATTGGCAGTGAATGTAGAGATCACTTTAGTCGTTGTTATTGTTTGTTTGTGCTTTCCGTTATTTATTTTTCTCTTTGCATGTACAATCAGTACAAACCACCGTCTCATTTGTATGGGCATATATTTTGCTTTCCATTTCTAAATGACAAACACTGGTTATTGTGAGGGAAACTTCTGCAGCAATGGAGAGTCAGGACTCAGAGAGACACGAGGAGAGTTGGAGCTTTGATGTCAAACACTGATGTTTATTACAAGTATCGGCCGGAGAAATTCATATCACACGTCACACAGCCAGAGGTTCTGACTGCAAGGGTGGGTTGCCATGTCAAATCTGACCAGCCTCTCTCTCGATAGACCTTTTAACTAGTTTACAGAGTTAATCCACATATTGGGGGATGGTGCGTAAACACCTGGAGACACTGGAGATATCGCCAACATCTGTAAATGCTGAATCACTTGTCTGTGGTGCTTAGAAGCCAGCGTTCTCACAGTCCTAAAACCCTCTGTGACGCTGAGACTTCCCATTCCTTAAGACAGATAACAGACTCAGGGTTGGTCGTAAACGTCAACACACAGAAAATGTTAGACTCCTAGGAGTAAGACAAAATGAATCCCTAACAGTTATGCATTGTCGAAACACAATAAAAAGATTTTTGATCTGAAAATCATTTCCAAAAAGTCCCTGTGGCGACAAGAACTTTTATTTCACGTTTTGACTTTACCTTCTTCTTTCACATAACAATCTTTTTTATTCTAATATAGTGCAACTGTCACGAAACCTCATTGTTCCCTTGATTGATTGATTAATTGATTGACTTGTTGGTTGGTTGACTTTGCTTCTCTTTGTGGCATATTGTTGTCTTCGGAACATTGCTTTTTATGTTTTGTATATTTGTATACATCATTTTTTTCTTTTGTATATGAATATTGTTATTGAAATCCAGCCGTTCCTCGACTGAAAACTCCAGATTTCTTACAATAGCTTCAATATCCCGTGACAGCATTGTGTTTGGACATATAGGACACACCCCTTTTTAATTGGATTTGTTTCTACCTTTTATTTAATAAGAATATGTTACACGCTAAAATCATCAGATGTATTTTTGTCCCCCAGTCCATGAAGAATTATTTGTTTGTATTAGATTAGATTCAACCTATTGTCATCACGTAGTACAGGCATTGACCCGTCCTAGTGTTAGGAGCCGTGGGCTGCCATTATCACGGCGCCCGGGCCGCAGCAGCTGGTCCTGATGCTTTTCAGACAAGTTGCACTTTATACCCCCAAAAAGCAGGTATTACTGTGACTCAGATTTTGAAGACACTGATCCGTTTACTGGGAGAAATACTCAGTTTCTATCTGGCAGATTGATAGTAACTGGGGGTCTTGTTTTAACGGACCCCCTCGTGTTCTGCACAGCTTGTTGCTGCTGCATTATAAATGAGATGTTTGATTTCTGCTTTGTTTTTGCAGCTTTAGTGAGCACACACACACACACACACACACACACACACACACACACACACACACACACACACACATCAACTTCAGGGGACATTACATTGACTTACATGCATTTCCTGGAGACTTATCCTAACCTAACCAAGTCTTCACCCTAAAATTAATGATCCCCCTTATGGGGACCTCCATTTTGTCCCCATAAGGGAGGCGAGTCCCCACACGTGACTATGTAAACAGATTTAGGTCCCCACAAGTATAGTAATGCTAGGACACACACACACACACACACACCTGAATTCAGACTCAAAGCACACAGTGATAACTCTGTATTTATTCAAACAGGAAACGATGACCAACAGAGAGGAAGAGATAGCAGCAGTATAGCAGCTAAAGACTCATGGTGTGTGTGTGTGTGTGTGTGTGTCCTCCATCTGTATTGATCCAGGTGTAATGATGGTCAGGCGGGGGGGGGGGGCATGCACTCTCAGGATATACACCGATAACATCTGATATACTTCTCACCTGCACAGATATCTTCTTGTTTTGTTTGTACACAGGTTGCTTATACAAAAGTATGTTTTTAATGTAACACTGCGTACACATGTGTGATTCTCCACCTCCCATAGTCGCATTTTCTTATGTACAGAGTGGTGGCTCGTTATTTGCTGAGTTGTCTGTGGATATAAAGTCAGGAAACAATCATCATTCTTCTTGTTCCAGGTCTTTTGAACCAGTCTTTGAAGCTTCAACCAGGTCCTTTGTGATTGAACTGTCGGCTGAGAGTTGAATGTAGATAAAGCCGCAACAATCCTCCATTTGCCGCCGCACTTTTGCTACGAGTCCTGAGAAAAACATCCACCACGAGTCCTTCTTATTTGTTTAAAAAAAGGCGACAAATCTGTACAAACACTCACAGAAACAAGAGACCGACGCAGGCACACATCACCACAGTCATAACGGTAACACTGGACATTTCTCTCTGCAGACACAAATACCCCACAATGTGAAGGACCAGCAGCTCGCCTGCAGGCACGAGGACGCTACGGATCACACATCGCTGCTGCATGCTAACTCTGCTGAGAAGTGATTCAAATTGATGCTACAGACTAGAAAACATGTCATTTAAAACCAAAGTAGTGCATGGGTTCTATGCATAAGAGATATATCTTGCTAAAATAGAAAAATAGATGATTTGAAAGTAAATGTAAACATAGAAAAATATATATTTATGTACACGATGAATGGGTTAGTACATACGATGTAAAAACACCCCTAATTGAAAAGGTGATGATGTTAGAAAGTTCCTCCTTTACAGGCAGATTAGGCTCGTTAACAAGAAGAGGAGGGTCCCAGGGGTCAGAGGTCACCATACGGAGCACTTGTCCACAGGGTTCATGGGCGAACTCTTCGGACAGTGGAAAACTCGAGCAAACTCATCGAACTGGGAGACGCTGCCGATCACTCTGCAGGGAGGAGACAGGAGGGTTAGATCTGAAAACTACATTTCATTTCATTCATGTTGGCGTGTGGCGCAGTGGGGTAATGCGCTGATCTGCGAATCAGAGGATGAGTTCGAGTCCCACTGCAGTCAGCATGTCGTTGTGTCCCTGAGACACTTCACCCCAAAGAGCTCCTGTCCACAGTATTGAGTATGTGAGTCGCTTTGGATAAAAGCGTCTAACAAGTGACATGTGATGTAATGTTATATATGTATCGTTTTACACTGAGTGTTGTCAACATACTAAACTATGAGTATTTTTGACATACTATACCGAGGCCACTCACTAGAGGAGAGGTCTATTGCCTCATCAGTTCAGTTATAAGTTAGCAAAATCAATCAAATGTCGGTAAATTATGCGTTTCACTTGAATATGATTTAAGAAACAAAATGTGCCTCAGAGTGCTCATAAATAATATATATATATACGTATATGTGTCTGTGTGTGTGTGAGGCCTAGCATTACTATCCTTGTGGGGACCTAAATCTGTTATCACAGTCACGTGTGGGGACTCGCCGCCCTTATGGGGACAAATTGGAGGTCCCCATGAGGGGAATCATTCATTTTAGGGTGAAGACTTGGTTAGGGTTAGGCATGTGTTGGTTATGGTTAAGGTTAGGATAAGTCTCCAGGAAATGCATGTAAGTCAATGTAATGTCCCCTGAAGTGATGTATACATGGTATGTATGTGTGTGTGTGTGTGTGTGTGTGTGTGTGTGTGTGTGTGTGTGTGTGTGTGTGTGTGTGTGTGTGTCTAAATCACAGGTTTCATGTTGGAAGCTCATTCCTTAAAACAGAGTGATTGTAATGAGGCGAAATATGAAGGTTCTATTTCAAACTCGTAATCTAAATAAATGATTTGGCATTTTTTTCCTCAGATTTAAAAAAAAAAAATGTTTTCAACTTTAATTGACTGAATTTATTTGAAAAGTGGGCTTCATAATATTAGTATACTATACAGTGAGGTTTTTCCTGATATTTTCAGCATTTTCTACTGTACTATGTCATTTTATCAGATACTTTCAACATACTATATATACTATGTAGTATTTGTTTAATATTTTTGACATACTATACTTTGCCTTTATTTTCAAATACTATAACGTGATTATTTTTGAATGATTCGACATACTGTGTTGTCTCGTATTTTTTGACGTACCATACTATGATATTGTTTCCAGATATCTGTGTATGTGTGTGTGTGTGTGTGTGTGTGTGTGTGTGTGTGTGTGTGTGTGTGTGTGTGTGTGTGTGTGTGTGTGTGTGTGTGTGTGTGTGTGTGTGTGTACCTGTAGTGCTCTGGAGCGTGTTTGTCCGTCAGCAGCTGCAGGTAGATGGACTGAGATCTCCTCTTCATACACCAGTTCTGAAAAAACAAGATTGTTATTTATATTTAGTTTGAATTGGGTTAAAACTCAACTCCATTTTAGGATGAAATAATAAAAAATGGACAAAAAATATGCACAGCAACAAAAGAAGTCAATAAGCTACATACTGTAGGTGTTGAATTGAACAGAAGTTAAACAATGTACAATAAGGAAACTGTTTAGTGTCTTAATATATAATACTTGGGTATGTGGACTATAAACAGATGTGTGTATGTAAGTACTAACACTATGGCTAGAGTTTTAAAGCTAAAAGACGTCATGTTGTGTAAAAAACGAGTCTACATTGTGCCAGAGTTACATTAAGTTTTGCATGTCAATGGTTTCATTTAAATTCAATGATAATAGTGGGGGGGGGGGGTCCAGAGCTCAGAGCGACCGTAGCATCATCAGCGCTGCGTTTCTCTCTGGATGCTTGTGTGCTAATGTTGGATTCATGTCTAACTCCTACCTGCTCTCTGTGATGTGAGACTGCAGCTGAGAAGAACTGAAACCACTGAATATGGAAATGTGATGAAAGACAACCAGAGGTGGGAAGTAGTGGAGTACAAATACTTTGTTACTGTACTTAGGTACATGTTTCTGATATCAGTACTTTACTCCACTACTTATCTTTCTGACGACTTGTTACTTTTACTTCTTACATTTTGAACTCAAATACCTGAACTTTCTACTTCTTACATGTTGAACTCAAATACCTGTACTTTCTACTTCTTACATGTTGAACTCAAATACCTGAACTTTCTACTTCTTACATGTTGAACTCAAATACCTGTACTTTCTACTTCTTACATGTGGAACTCAAATACCTGTACTTTCTACTTCTTACATGTTGAACACAAATACCTGTACTTTCTACTTCTTACATGTTGAACTCAAATACCTGTACTTTCTACTTCTTACATGTTGAACTCAAATACCTGAACTTTCTACTTCTTACATGTTGAACTCAAATACCTGTACTTTCTACTTCTTACATGTGGAACTCAAATACCTGTACTTTCTACTTCTTACATGTTGAACACAAATACCTGAACTTTCTACTTCTTACATGTTGAACTCAAATACCTGAACTTTCTACTTCTTACATGTTGAACTCAAATACCTGAACTTTCTACTTCTCACATGTTGAACACAAATACCTGTACTTTCTACTTCTCACATGTTGAACACAAATACCTGAACTTTCTACTTCTTACATGTTGAACACAAATACCTGTACTTTCTACTTCTTACATGTTGAACCCAAATACCTGTACTTTCTACTTCTTACATGTTGAACACAAATACCTGTACTTTCTACTTCTTACATGTTGAACTCAAATACCTGTACTTTCTACTTCTCACATGTTGAACACAAATACCTGAACTTTCTACTTCTTACATGTTGAACTCAAATACCTGAACTTTCTACTTCTTACATGTTGAACCCAAATACCTGTACTTTCTACTTCTTACATGTTGAACACAAATACCTGAACTTTCTACTTCTCACATGTTGAACACAAATACCTGTACTTTCTACTTCTTACATGTTGAACTCAAATACCTGAACTTTCTACTTCTTACATGTTGAACACAAATACCTGTACTTTCTACTTCTCACATGTTGAACACAAATACCTGAACTTTCTACTTCTTACATGTTGAACTCAAATACCTGTACTTTCTACTTCTTACATGTTGAACACAAATACCTGTACTTTCTACTTCTCACATGTTGAACACAAATACCTGTACTTTCTACTTCTTACATGTTGAACACAAATACCTGTACTTTCTACTTCTCACATGTTGAACACAAATACCTGTACTTTCTACTTCTTACATGTTGAACTCAAATACCTGTACTTTCTACTTCTTTCATGTTGAACACAAATACCTGTACTTTCTACTTCTTACATGTTGAACTCAAATACCTGTACTTTCTACTTCTTACATGTTGAACACAAATACCTGTACTTTCTACTTCTTACATGTTGAACTCAAATACCTGAACTTTCTACTTCTTACATGTTGAACTCAAATACCTGTACTTTCTACTTCTTACATGTTGAACTCAAATACCTGTACTTTCTACTTCTCACATGTTGAACACAAATACCTGTACTTTCTACTTCTCACATGTTGAACTCAAATACCTGTACTTTCTACTTCTCACATGTTGAACTCAAATACCTGTACTTTCTACTTCTTACATGTTGAACACAAATACCTGTACTTTCTACTTCTTACATGTTGAACTCAAATACTTGTACTTTCTACTTCTCTCATTTTCCTAACAGCTGGTTCCTTTAGTCTGAATGTGTGTTTGATGCGTGATCATTATTCTTTAGAGTCATTGCGTGCCTATTGATTTGAACACGATCCGTGTATCCATAATTTCCTGGTCTTCTCTAAAGAAGAGGGACCAATGGAAACGTTGTCATGTTGCCGTTGTTCAGCATGGAAACATTCATTAGCTAACAATGACATTATTGTTCTATTAATATAAAGGGAGGTCAGGTACTCTTTAAAGCAGCTGCTAGTTATGGGTACTTTTTACTGAAGTACATGTTGAAGCCTCTTTACTTTGACTTGAGTTAAGAAGTTTAATGAGTACTTCTACTTTTACCAGAGTATTTTTAAACACGAGTATCTGTACTTCTACTTGAGTACAGGATGTGTGTACTTTGGCCCTCACTGAAGTCAACAGAGGAAACATGGTACCTGTGCAAAGGCGATGAACACCAGCTGCTCGTGTGTGTATTTGAGTCCGGGGAGGGGTCTCTCCGGACCGTGCTCCCTCACCCACTTCTGGTACGCCTGCAGAGAGAGGATAGAGAAAGATAAGAGGTATTAATTAAATGATGACCCTTCACCTGGTGTTGAAAGTAGCTTATTCTCTGTAAGTTGCAGTGGCAAGAGACACTTTTTTAGCTTAAAGAGGACTACAGTATTAATGCTAATTTCTACCTTCATATCAGTATGTAGTGTCTCTACTTTAAAGAGTCCTCTCCTGCTGATGTTCAGGTGTATATCAGTATGTAGTGTCTCTACTTTAAAGAGTCCTCTCCTGCTGATGTTCAGGTGTATATCAGTATGTAGTGACTCTACTTTAAAGAGTCCTCTCCTGCTGATGTTCAGGTGTATATCAGTATGTAGTGTCTCTACTTTAAAGAGTCCTCTCCTGCTGATGTTCAGGTGTATATCAGTATGTAGTGTCTCTACTTTAAAGAGTCCTCTCCTGCTGATGTTCAGGTGTATATCAGTATGTTGTGTCTCTACTTTAAAGAGTCCTCTCCTGCTGATGTTCAGATGTATATCAGTATGTAGTGTCTCTACTTTAAAGAGTCCTCTCCTGCTGATGTTCAGGTGTATATCAGTATGTAGTGTCTCTACTTTAAAGAGTCCTCTCCTGCTGATGTTCAGGTGTATATCAGTATGTAGTGTCTCTACTTTAAAGAGTCCTCTCCTGCTGATGTTCAGGTGTATATCAGTATGTAGTGTCTCTACTTTAAAGAGTCCTCTCCTGCTGATGTTCAGGTGTATATCAGTATGTAGTGACTCTACTTTAAAGAGTCCTCTCCTGCTGATGTTCAGGTGTATATCAGTATGTAGTGACTCTACTTTAAAGAGTCCTCTCCTGCTGATGTTCAGGTGTATATTTACGTACATTTTACGAAAGTTATTATTCTCTGAAGTCAATTAAGAAACTCTCTGAACTAACCATTCTGTACTTGTTCATATATATTGATTTTCTCCTTATCAAAAGACTCAAAACAGTCAAATTATGTCACAATCGTAGCTTTACGGTTCCTGAAAACAACTATTTAGATAGTGACTTAAATATGGTAAACAGAGGTGAGCAATTATGCTTTTTAGTGTGTGCAACATAGAAAAACCATACTAACATGTAAGAGTGTACCAAAAGAAAAACATCTTATATATAACGCTATAAATGTTTCCACTGTATCTGTTCCTCTTATTCCCGTGTTATCGTGCATCTTAACCTGATTGAATATAAAGAAGCTATAAATATATTGCATGTCTCTTAAAGTGTGGTAATGTACAGATGTTGTATGACATCCGTATATTCTTGTCACATTATGCAATATTTTCAATTGAATTAAATGTAAATCTGGGAGTTGTCATGAACACTGTTCTGCTCATCAGAGAGAGATTATAAAAAAAGTGGTGAACAAAACAAAGGACAGCCGGTGCAGCTGTGCCTCGCGTCATATTTCATTTATGTTGCTTTAAAACGACACCTCAAGGCAATGTCATTTGGTTTAAGGCCTGTTGCTTTGACGACTCTTGAAGGCAAGGAAAGGAATCAAGGAGACAGCTGAGCGTAATAAAAAGCACCCCTGATGTGGTGAGGAAAACACATCGAAAACAAAAACACATTCAGAAAGATATATTGTCTCTGCTCAGCATGAGGATGTTTTATTTATTATTTACAAGTATATGTTAATTTTATAGCAAAATACACATCTTCTTTCATTTTACTTTTGTTCTCATTTTCAACCATTTCCAGCAGGAAACAGCACTAACGGCCCGTCCACACAGCGGCGCGTGCGTTGTCACTTGCCGGCGGGCATGTCTGAAGCAGTGACGTGCGGTGAGGTTCATGGCTGGTGAGGCACTGACTCTTTAGTCAGATTTACAAATATTATATTTTGACCTTAATCGAAATATTCGGTTATTTTCAAAAGCTTTTTTGGTCTGATGCTTCGATTCATCTTAAACAGACCGTTCAACAAAAGGATACCCAACATCTAAATATTGGATTGTTCTTTCTTAGTAAGATCCCATTTTCATTAGAATGGTGGTCTTACCGTGACTTGAAGATGAAGTCCATGCTATCCTTCTGGACAACAATCTCTATTACTTTTTTGTAAAAGTCCTCCTTATCTTCCTCTAGTTTCAAAAGTCTAGCTTGTTGTTTGCATCTACCGTCTCTGCGTAGAATAACAGTAGCAACAAGAACCTGTGGGCTCACTTGCGCCCCCTTCAGTGCGGCAGAGGTTATGGCTGCCTCCCCTGGTGCTTTTTTCATTGCCGTTGTATGATGAGACCAGCGGGCTTAAATATCATATATACGTGAAATAAGTTATTTAGAGACTATGGATGGCGAGGATAAATGTAATAAAGGGATCTACAAACATTACATTGGTGACATACAGTGAGATGGTGCAGGCATGCGCTTAGGGCCCGCTTTCCAGCCAGTTTCAGTGGGGTGACGCATTCTGAGGTGAGGCAGAGCTCATCTGTGCCTCACCTCACCCCACAGTAACTGGCTTGAGCGCGCTCACAAAATAAGTGCCCACGTTAAATTAGTGCCCGCGCTCCAGCCAGTTACTGTGGGTTTACGAGAGGCAGAGCTCGTCCCTGCCTCACTTCTCATCGCTACCCGTAGTTGTAGCGGAGGAGCTCTGCAAATTTGCTGATTTTGACTATAAAAAGCGATTGGAATCAAACAGAAATCACATTTCCAAAACAGATCAGTGGAGACATTTTATTATTATTACTATTTAGTTTTTCTTTAGTTGTTTTTCCGTTACATCCCCTGCCTCCCCTGACTGCACGTCGCTGGTCTGAAGCTAGACCAACAACCAATCACCTGAATCTCCCGCCCCGGACACACAAGCAGCGGTTTGATTGTCTAGAGCTTGTACTGGCATATGATTCGATTGGCTGACGCTTCTGTCGAAGCTTCAAAAGTTGAACATTGCTCAACTTTTGCAGCGAGCAAAGCTACGCTTCGCTCCCACAATGCAGTTCGGCAAAGTGTGACGTCACCCCATTCAAAGTGAATGGGCTGAAGCGTTGAAGCTTTAACGCACGCCGCTGTGTGGACGGCCGTAAATGAGGCAGGAAAATATGTCAATGAGACAAAAAATACCGTCTGACGTCTGGCTGAGCCAATCACTCAACAGGAGAGAAAAGGTACAAAGACGTTAATTGTTTTCCAGTCACTTGGCGTAATTGGATAATTCATTTGGGATTTAATTGGGAATAGAGTGGTGGTACGTATTTCTGTAGAAGACCCTGAAGGTAGCTTCTTCCCAGTTCCCTCCACAAACAGCCAATGTTTGTTAAGCTGCTAAGCAAAGCCTACAACTAAAGGTGGCTAATGTTGGGCTGTAAAGGAACTACAGCACGGTCACATGACTTCACGTCACCACCGCTAAGCTAAAGGAGGCTAATGTTGGGCTATAAAGGAACTACAGCACGGTCACATGACTTCACGTCACCGCCGCTAAGCTAAAGGAGGCTAATGTTGGGCTGTAAAGGAACTACAGCACGGTCACATGACTTCACGTCACCGCCGCTAAGCTAAAGGAGGCTAATGTTGGGCTATAAAGGAACTACAGCACGGTCACATGACTTCACATCACAACCGCTAAGCTAAAGGAGGCTAATGTTGGGCTATAAAGGAACTACAGCACGGTCACATGACTTCACGTCGCCACTGCTAAGCTAAAGGAGGCTAATGTTGGGCTATAAAGGAACTACAGCACAGTCACATGACTTCACATCACAACCGCTAAGCTAAAGGAGGCTAATGTTGGGCTATAAAGGAACTACAGCACGGTCACATGACTTCACGTCACCACCACTAAGCTAAAGACGGCTAATGTTGGGCTATAAAGGAACTACAGCATGGTCACATGATTTCACGTCACCACCGCTAAGCTAAAGGCGGCTAATGTTGGGCTATAAAGGAACTACAGCACGGTCACATGACTTCACGTCACTACTGCTAAGCTAAAGGCGGCTAATGTTGGGCTATAAAGGAACTACAGCACGGTCACATGACTTCACGTCACTACTGCTAAGCTAAAGGCGGCTAATGTTGGGCTATAAAGGAACAACAGCACGGTCACATGACTTCACGTCACCACCGCTAAGCTAAAGGCAGCTAATGCTGGCCGTGATGGCGTTTAGTCGTCTCATTTACATACTTATTAGCAACAACATTTTAAAATCTCTTCAGCTTGTGTTAACCAAAGACCTTAATTCAGGCTAACAAACAAAAACACTTAAAAAACCATTGAGGTGAGGGAAGTGCTAAAATGCTGACTAATTTCCGTGTTTAGGATCACCACTCTGCAGCCATACTATTTTGAAAACACTATGATTAGGAAGTAAAACAAATGGTCTATGCCACTTTAAATAAGATAACAATAACAATACTTTCTCCTTGTAGAAATCCCTGAAATGTAGTAAACACCTTCTTGTTTATTTCAGTCACTCTAAATGATTGACATGACTAACTGGCATTATGACCTTGTTGTTGCATTTTATATTCTAAAATATTCGTTTTTTGAAATCAGTCATTCCTTTTGTTCAGAAAAACACTTCAATATAGAGATCACTGACACTCTCGATATGGAATTAAATTATACTCTGCTATCCAGTCAAACACACACCCGCACACACACATACACACGTTCGGTTCGACTCCTGCTCTTTTCTTTAATGCAAATACGCACATAGCAGAGTGGTTTTAGATTTGATAGATTTTCGACAACGAAGAGGGACAGAGGTGCTTCACGGTGATAATGCAAACTTTAATATTTACACTTGGTGAAGACACACAGCCACAGTATTTGAATACAGCTGGTATTAAATATTACTCACATAGTACGACAGCTTCAGTCCTCCCATGTCGGCGATGTTCTCCCCCAGTGTGAGACGACCATTCACCTGAACACACGGAAAGAAAACACTGACACTCTGAACAATATTAACATCTCCTACCATATACTGTGTGTGCATGTACTTCAAGGATGTACTTAATTGAAGGATCTTGGATGTGACTTATGTCGAGATTTAGTTTTCAATTAAGGTCTGATTTCGTCTTATAAATCAAAAAGAAATGACTACATTTTGATTAATGTGCTTATTCACTTTCTGAGAAGACTGATAGCCTTAACAAGAAAATAATTAGGTTTCTGGTGCCTCAGCGGCAGTTATATTTAGGGTTTACTTTTCAGTTTTTTTCGTTATGATTTTGGCCGCTACAATTAACATCTCCTTCCCTATACTGTGTGTACATGTACTTCAAGGATGTACTTTAAGGAAGGATCTGGGAAGTGACGAATATCGGTATTTCTCTTTGTTTTTAAACGCATGTCCTTTCTGCCAAGTTTGTCTCGTGATTCAAAAAGAACATTTCTACAAGTTTCTACAATTTCTAAAGTGCTTATTCCCTTTCTGAGAAGACTGATACCTTAAACAAGAAAAGAAAGGACTATATTTAACGAAATGTCAAGCTATTCCTTTACATTTGTCGCTCAAAATATATAAAATAATTCAAATAGTGTTTTACAAGAGTGACACAGATGCTTAACTACACCCTTGAACTAAAAATATCCTGAATTAATGTTTTAAATTGTATCAATAACTATTTATGTGAAGATTTGTTTGAATACTAAAAAATAGAAGCTAGGAAAGCTGATACATTCTGACTCCACAGCTACTGCATGGCTCGCCGTACAAAGAATATGGTCTGTACTTCAAGGATGTACTTTAATGAAGGATCTGGGATGTGACTTATGTCGATATTTAAGGTCTGATTTCGTCTTAGAAATCAAAAATACATTTCTAAAGTTTCGATAAATGTGCTTATTCACTTTCTGAGAAGACTGATACCTTAACCCTTCTCTTGCGTTTCGGGTCAAAAAGTGACCGAGTGACTTGTTTTTGATCATAAATATCGTGTTTTTCATCCAATTGCCTCAAGAGCTTATGTTATCCTCCACACCAGGCCTCTGGACATACACACTTGATGATCACCACTTGCATTGATTTTTTAGTGATTGATTCAACAGTGAAGCACCCTTGATGTTTTCCGTCAGAATGGACCGCCATAGGAAATTAATCGGTATGAGTGTATTATGTTCATCCTGCAGATGGAAAACATCTGTACTATCTACACACACACACACACACACACACACACACACACACACACACACACACACACACACACACACACACACACACACACACACACACACACCACACACACACACACACACACACACACACACACACACACACACACACACACACACACAATTCCTTTACATTTGCCATAACAAATATATAAAATAATTTAACTATATAGTGTTTTACAAGAGTGACACAGATACTAAACTACGCCCAGAACCAAAAAACCTCTTGAATTAATACTTAAATTGTATTAATAACTATTTATGTGAATATGTGTTTGAATACTAAAACATAGGAGCTAGAGAAGCTGATATGTTCTGACTGCACAGCTCCTGCATGGCTCGTTGTACAACAAAATATGGTCTGTTGTTAAAATCTGCCTTTCTAGGTAATTGCTCATATTTTTCAAACTCCACTTCATACATAATGCAGGCTCTAAATCTCGAAGCATAATCAGAGATGAAAAAAGCTCCTACGGGGACGCTGAAGAGATTATAGGAACGTTTGTTCGAGTATTCAAGTGTTTGTACTTCAAACCGATTCTTACATGTAATCATGCGTATCTATTTGGTATCTTACAAATAATATTGCAAAAACCTTTCATAGATAAGCAGGGAAGCAGTGAATACGGAATAATAAAACACCAAGCTTTATCATATTGTACATTAACCTAATACCAGTCAACCTTGTGTATACATAATACATGTGTAAATGTGTATGTGCAATAAAGCATAGGAGCCTGAGCAGTAAAGCACATTCCCATTTAGTTATAGCTTTGCAACCTTATGTTTGGTCAAACCCAATATATATAAAGTTATATCCTGAAAATGAGCAACTGTGACCCCTTTAAAATATGTGTTATACAGTACCTTTAGTCAGGTGTCTATATTTAAACAGCTTAAACTATTGATACATTTTAAGGAACTGACAAAGATGGGTTATATAACATTTAACATTTTTGGACGGCACTTACGCGGATGACACCCAGCTCTACTTGTCCTCCAAACCAACCACCATCCTCCCTCCATCTTCCCTGTCTGACTGCTTACAGGACATCAAATCCTGGTTCTCCTCTAACTTTCTCAAACTTAACGACAGTAAAACCGAGGTTCTCCTCATTGGCACAAAATCCACCCTAACCAAACCTGACAGTGTCTCCATTACTATAGACAACTCTTCAGTCTCCCCCTCCCCTCAGGTTAAGAGTCTGGGTGTCATCCTCAACGGCACACTTTCATTCAAATCTCTATCAGTAATATCACTCGGTCTGCCTATTTCCATCTACGCAACATCAACCGCCTCCGCCCGTCCCTTAACCCTAAGACCACCGCCATTCTTGTTCACACCCTGGTCACTTCCCGCATCGACTACTGCAACTCCCTTCTCTTTGGTCTCCCTCTCAAATCCATCCACAGACTTCAACTAGTCCAGAACTCTGCCGCCCGCATCGTCACCAGAACCCCCTCCATTAACCACATCACTCCTGTTCTTCAGCAGCTTCACTGGCATCACCAGAACCCCCTCCATTAACCACATCACTCCTGTTCTTCAGCAACTTCCCTGGCTCCCCGTCAAATCCCGTATCGTTTTTAAGATTCTGCTCCTCGCCTTTAAGGCCATCCATAACCTCACTCCTCTGTACCTCTCCGACCTCCTGCACATCAACACACCCATCTGCACACTCAGATCTTCTGCTTCCCTCAGCCTCACTGCACCCCCCTTCCGTTTAACCACCATGGGGTCTAGAGCCTTCAGCCGCTCTGCACCCCGCCTCTGGAACTCCCTCCCACCTGACATCCGCAACACTGACTCTCTCCCCCATTTTCAAATCACGCCTCAAAACATATCTCTTCACACTCGCATATCCACCCTGATCATTATCCATCACACATCCTCTGTTTTTATTTATTTGATTTGTTATAAACTGCATTGTCTTGTTTATGTCTCTTATGCTGGTGTTAGGTATTGTATATCTTGTTTTTTATGTGTTTGTACGGCGACCTTGAGAGCCTTGAAAGGCGCCTATATAAAATAAATGAATTATTATTATTATTATTATTGTTGTCACGAGGGATGGGTACCGAGCCCCGGTATTAAACGGGCCCCGGGGCTGAATTATTAAAGACCGTGGTTCCGTTAAGCTCCGACGTTATCGGTCTTTTTATCGGTACTGGAGACGTAACAAATATATGTCGTAGCCTATGTATTATTGCTACACAAACATTATATTGCAGTTTTAGTTTCGCCAACTCTGTTTCTAACACACAAAAAGACTACAAAATGCGTCTATGATTATTTTTTGTATTTTCAATCTTTCCAATCCAGACGAGAGATCTCTCTCCCCCGTCTGTGTGCGAGGGGGCGGGGCAGGTTACACACACGCAGCTGATACATGCAGCAACACACACACACACACACACACACACACACACACACACACGGAGGAGATGGCGGAGAGAACGCGCTCCGAGGTGTGGTTAAACTTTACCCGTCTCGATGCTCGTTGCCAAAAGTGCAATAAGAGTTTAGCATGTGAGGGCGGGAACACGAGCAATGTGTCTAAACATTTATCAAAAGTGCTCCACATCCAGACGGAGGAATGCACCGGGTTCCACTGTCTTTCTAGCAGCTCTGTAGCCCCGTCCACGAGTAACGTTTCCACGTCAGGTGTTATGTATGCTAGCAGCAACACACGGAGTTAACTACATTATACAAGCATGGGTTAATGATTAGAGGAAACTGAGTTATTTATTTAGTTAAAGTTTCAGCTATTCTGTTTACAGTTCAGTCATCACATTATTTAATACGATTTGTTAAAACATTGTTGTTTTTTTTTATGTGAAATATTATTTATTTAAATAAAAAGCAATGTTAGTTTTGTTCACAATTTGTTTAATTAGTTTACCTTCTTTTTTTCTCCAAAAGAACCGATAAGAGTACCGTTAAAAGACCGGACCGATAAGCGGTATCGATAAAAGTAGTAGTACCGTTAAAACCTTAACGATACCCATCCCTAGTTGTCACAGCATGATTTGGATGTCACAGTCTGACTGTTTACAACTTTAGGCAAGACACATTAAGCTTAGCTGCAATCATTAAATCAAAGCATAGGAATAGATTGGCTAACGTACAGTATGTTGAGTGAATCTCCATTGACTTAAGCCAAACTTTAAATTATCTAAATACAAAAATAACTGTTCATGTTTGTTATAAGCCCTGACTTAATCCTACAGAGGTTGAAAAATGTTGTCTAATTAATGATTAAGCCACTCAAATAAAGGCGTTCTAATACTTCCTTCATCGTGGTTACCCTGCTGATTTCTACCCTGTTTTCCAATATGACTTCACCATCACTTAATACACGGAGCAACCAGTTAACTTCGCTAAAAGTACGATTGTACTGAGACTGAAATGCAGGATCCATTTGTGAGTGAATGTGAGATACATTTGCCAGCCACCTAGCGTTAGCTCTCTGAGCAGGATTTGGCTCTGAAAATGGGATGTGCTTAAACCAGTCGAGTGTAAAGTGACTAATAGCTGTTGGTTTTATAATTTCAGTCACAGTTTGGAACAATGCAAGACATCCAAGGCAAATACTTGTTTTTCATGCTCTGGTACATTTTTGGAGTTTGGGCTATTTTGGAAATAAAACATCTCAATAGACATTTCAATAACAGCTAAAAGTTGTGTTCTGTTTTATGTAAAGTTCAAAAGAGATATCCAAAAAGCCCCTTCATAAAACCATGTCAACAAAATGTATTGATAATTTTGAACCTGGCTTTATCCAATGTTTACATGTATGGGAATGTATGCAAGTTAGCTCCTTATTATAAGATAATGCCCCATTTCTCAAATTTAAAGGACACCTATCATGCTATATTTAAATTATATATTGTAGGGCCATACCTATATAAGGTATATTTATACGTATCTGTTTTCAAAATACCAAACAGATCCTGCATTTTAGCCATGCTTCATTTCGCTCTATTTGCTCTTTCCAGCCCTGTTTTTGCAGGGGGCTGATTCTGTGAGCTGCAGCTGACCACGCCCCCCTGCAGCTGACCACGCCCCCTACAGCTGACCACGCCCCTCTGCAGGAGATGGGAGCGTGCTCTGATCAAGTCAGAAGAGGGGGAGAAAAAGAGATCTCCGTCCTCCGTGTTTTATTATATTATTATAAAGAGTCGTTATTCATCTGTTTTAAAGCTCAATAAGTAACAAAGAAGACTTTTGACCGGCACTTTTCCAATTTTGTTCGGAAGATTTAAACTTTAACGGACATGTTGACCGGTGAAAGAAAACCTAACTGAAACTCTGCCGCACGGTCAGAGGCGTCGTCCCTTGGAAGAGGCGGAGAGGTGGGTGTTTGTCATCTGCTGGTGGACTAACCGGAGAGAATTACAGTGCTTGCCTCGATGGTCCCCTTGAAATATTACATTTCACCAACATTTTTATACTATTGTTATATAATCTAGTTAAAAAAGTTCTCTAGGGTTCTTTACCCTCTTTGAAAGAAGGTGACATTATGGGATGTAGAAATGCAACATGTTTCTCTTTCTGAATTATTCATTCTTCCTTCTGTAGGAGCCAAAATGCCGTTGAGCCTCAGTTTATTATTTGTATTATTATTATTATTTGTTTACATCACTTCTATTTGTATTTGTTGAACATTTCCGGCAATTGTTGCATGGTTGTGGTTTGTGTGTTTAGGATGACAGAGGGTGAGTTTGAGCTGATTATTTCTTCTTCTGTTGTTTCATTTAGTTTATTAAACATCATACATTTCTACTTCAGTATGGACTTTCTTCTTGAAAACGTGTCAAAGCCTAAAGCCAAGTTTAGCCTCTTGCCGACTCAATTTAATGGGACAAGTATCAAGAAAACAAATGACACCAGATAATAAAGTCTGACCAACATGTTAATGCTGTTTTAATTCTATTTTGAGATGTTTAAATTCTAGTATTGTTTATTTCTACTCTTTAATTTCTACTTATCTGCAATGCCTTGTTTTGTTTTTTTGCTTTTTATGCTGTGGTAATGCAAACATTTCCCAATTTGGAATCAATAAAGTACCTCTTATCTTACGACAAGGCCCATGCGAATGAGGACTTTTTACAGAGTGTTGTGTTTCTGACCCACCTTCTGGTTATACACGGTGAAGTTATCGTAGAGCTTGACGATGCACTCGGCTTTCTTCTGGAACTTGGTGTAGGACTCCTCCGTCCACCATTGCTTGAGGTTTCCGTTGCGGTCATACTGGCCCCCTAGGGACATGAACCATTGCATCACTAAGATGAAGGGATAAAGGGCAGGGGGGGCCAGTGTTAGCATGGAGACAACACAACCTAAAACTTTCCTTCACAGTCCAAAAAGCTGCCCAGCGCACCATCTGAGAAGCTGTTCATTGAAGCAGGACTAAAACCACTGGGAGGCAAAACGTTGGGTTTGTATTTGGCAGATGCATCCAGTTAAATAGCCACCTGAATTGATGGACTAAATTACTTCAAAATAGCAAAAATCATCAGGGAACTCTTGCTTTTTCTGGCCATTGACTTTGGTGGATGTCCCTGGTTCAAGCGCCATCCGAACCACTTTTCTACGCAACTACATTTGTAGAATAACTTCTGGCAATAAAGCAGGAAGTGCATCAACCTACCAGTCAGAAATACTGACATTTGTTCTAGTATTTGTTAGGTTGCGGGCAGAAATGTCCCATTGTCATTGGAGACTTCGGGCGTATCTTGACGTGCATGAAAGTTAGAGATTCTGGCAAAAAATGGTGCAAATAAATCATCAGAGAACTCTTGCTTTTTCTGGCCATTGACTTTGGCGGATGTATCCAGTTCAAGAGAGACATACAGCTAGTATTGCACTTATGTACCAATTAGTATCACTCAATGTTATTCCAGTATTTGTTAGGTGGCTGGGAGGAATTTCACACCATCCTTAAGACGTATAAAGGGAAGCTCTTTTGACCGGGAATGAAAGTTAGAGATGGTGGCAACAAATTATGTAAAATTGCATAAATCAACAAGGAACTCTTGCTTTTTCTGGCCATTGACTTTGTTGGATGTTCCCAGTTCAAGAGCCATCTGGGCTGCATATATGTCTACATTTAATAACTTTCTGATAAATAGACTAATATTGGACCGACACACCAGTCAGTATTACTCTAAGTTATTCCAGTATTTGTTAGGTGGCTGGGAGGAATTTCACACCATCCTTAAGACGTATAAAGGGAAGCTCTTTTGACCGGGAATGAAAGTTAGAGATGGTGACAACAAATGGTTTAAAATTGCATAAAACGTCAGGGAACTCTTGCTTTTTCTGGCCATTGACTTTGGCGGATGTGTCCAGTTCAAGAGACAACCGAACCACTTTTTCTACGCAACTACATTTGTAGAATAACTTTCTGATAAATAATCTGGTATTGCACTTACGTACCAGTCAGTATTACTCAAAGGTATTATTGTATTTGGTAGGTTGATGGCAGAAATGTCACATTGTCATTAAAGTCTTTAGACGTTTCTTAAAAAGCAGCTCTTTTGAGCGGGAATGAAAGTTAGAGATGGTGGCAACAAATGATGTAAAATTGCATAAATCAATAAGGAACTCTTGCTTTTTCTGGCCATTGACTTTGTTGGATGTTCCCAGTTCAAGAGCCATCTGGGCTGCTTATCTATCTACATTTAATAACTTTCTGATAAATAGACTAATTGGACCGACACACCAGTCAGTATTACTCTAAGTTATTCCAGTACTTGGTAGGTAGTGGGTGGGCAGACATTTCACATTTCCATCAAAGACGTATAAATAGAAGCTCTTTTGAGCGGGAATGAAAGTTAGAGATGGTGACAACAAATAGTTTAAAATTGGATAAATCATCAGGGAACTCTTGCTTTTTCTGACCATTGACTTTGGTGGATGTATCCCGTCTGAACTGCTAATATATCAAATCATATTTGAAGAAAGACTTCCTGACAATAAAGCTGGAAGTATTACTCAAAGTTATTCCAGTATTTGGTGGGCAGACATTGAAGTGTTCAGACGTATAGAGGGCAGCTCTTTTGACTGGAAAAGAAAGCTTGAGATTGTGGCTAGAAATGTTGAATTGAATGAATGATAATGGGAAACTTAGCTATTTCTGTAAAATGGAAATGTGCATGCAACAACAGCAGTTTAACTGAAAATGGTGAAATTGACGATGGTTGTTAGCTTTTGAGTGATTGATTATAGCTGAATGGCTTTTAGCTGAGTGGATTACAGGTGGAGAAATGTCCTTACCCCAGTCATCATATCCATGTGTGAGCTCGTGGCCAATGATCGCTCCTATTCCTCCGTAGTTCAGAGACCTGGCAAAAGGAAGGTAAATATTAAAATGTATGTATGAATTGAATGCATATACTTAACAAGACCATGAACTTCTCAAAGAAAAGTTGTATTCCTAAACTGCTGCTGTAGTTGGTCTGGTTTGAACTCTATTTTTCCATGACTAACTTTTTTAATTATAAGTTCAGAATCAGAATAAAGACTACACTAACTTATTATAGAGAGGAAAAGCACACATTGGTAATAAAATATAAAGACAAATAAGTACACAACCATGGTTTAAAGTTCAGTTGCTACAAAGGATGTTGAAGCTTCCCAGGTCTTAATTAAAGCATCAGCTTTGAAAGAGAAGAAAAAACAACAACATCTAATCTAAAGTTACCAACACACACCCAAAGTTAGCCAGTATATGTTGATTTCTATTTTAGTTTTAAGAGTAAGTTAGTTTAGTTTTGAGGGAGGATGTATGTACGTATGTAGTTCTGGGTAAAAGTGTCTAACAAGCAGTGTTGAATTGTGCCGGTCCTACCCGGTCCTTAGTACCGGTAAGAGATTTCCAGGCGGTCCGGAGGACCAGGAAGAATTGACAGCTCCACCCGTGGAATTTATACTACGAAGGGAAGATATTTTGGTTTGGATTACTGGTCTGGGGGAAGCTCGCGAGTGTGTGTATACGTGTGTGTGTGTGTTTATGTATTTTTGCATTTGTGCATATTGTGTTTGTTTCCCGGTGAAAACACTCACGAGAAACACCGGCTGTTGTTATGCCTGCAGTGACGTTAAGTTACTCCGTTCTCCGCTTGTAATTATGCCGAAGCTTCAAAGTTGTATTTATCATCTGAATTTGCCGAAACAAGTTTAATATTCTGAAAGCCAAGACTTTGTTTAATTGAAATCAGATGAAAACAAACTGTAACGGACCCTGCCGTGTTATCTATGATTACTATACTCTTTCATAATGTCAGCCGGAGGGAGGGGGGGCGGCGCTGCGGAAGAGCAGATTGCGAGGGAGAGGTGCCTGTCTTCGTCCCTTTACAAGCTTCAAAAATGTATTTATCGCGTGATTTTGGAAATAAAAGTTTCATATTCTGAAAGCCAAGACTTTGTTTGTTTAAAATCAAACAAAACACCCTAACCCCGAAAAAATAGTTTTTTACGTAAATCCACGTTTATTTTGAAATGAGCCGTTGCGACTTCCGACTGATGTCGATAGAGCGGGTCACATATTGTCAAGTGTTTCTAATTTCTACCCCATAAAGGCATTAAAAATGTGAAGTTTGTGTTCAGGGATGCATGAAGCTGGGGGCGGGAGGAGAACAATATGAACCAATGAAGGTCGGGGTAGCATTATAGTACCTGCAAGAAATTCAAACCACTTTCACCCCTGCTAACAAGTGACATGTAATGTAAAGTACGCTACTTGAGAAATAAGTAGTGAGTTATTCACTAAATTAGGCTTCTAACTGGGACACGATCAAAGAGATTCTGATTAGGAGTGGTTTCGAACAAGCCAAGTAAAAAAAAAAAACAGTTTCTGGGTTAGCGTGAAGAGCTTAGCTTACAGAATCAAGCTAACTTATTAAATCTAGAGAAGGAAAGCACACATTAAATCAAGAAAAACAAGCAAACATCCATGGTTGAAAGTTGAGTTGTTACAAGAATGTTGAAGCTTCCCAGGTCTTAATTAAAGCATGACATCAGCTTTTAAAGCAAGAGGAAAAAAGCAATATCTAATCTAAAGTTACCGGCACACACCCAAAGTTAGCCAGTAGCTGATCTAAGCCAAATTAGGCTCCTAACTGAGATGCGATCAAAGAGAGTCTGATTAGGAGTGGTTTCGAACAAGCCAAGTAGGTTCTGGGTTAGGGTTAAGAGCCTAGTTTACAAACTCAAAGACGTTTTTATTGGAAGTTCAGAATCATAATGAAGATTAAGCTTACTTATTAGATATAGAGAAGAAAAGCACACATTAGTAATAGAATAACAAATAAAGACAAATAAATAAGTTCCGTTGCTATAAAGGATGTTGAAGCTTCCCAGGTCTTAAAGGTGACCTATCATGCAAAATGCACTTTAGTACGTCTTTTGTACATGAATATGTGTCCCCGGTGTTCCAGGGAACTCACCAAGTGTCAGAAAACACAGCCCTCTCTCTTTTCCTCTATACCCAAATCTCTTAAAAAGGGGCTGCAACGGATCTGATACAGACTGATCCAGATTTGAACACTTCTATGACGTCACAGAAGTGGCGCTACGGCTATTGGGCCAACTCCACCAATCAGGAGGAGACAGCCACGGACATTGCCGTTCGAAAGCGCTGGAGACGCTGTAGTACATATGCCAGGCCTGTAGGTGGTGCTGTTCTCACAGAATCAGCCCGTGCAAAGACAGTGTTAAATTGAGCGAAATGAGGAATGGCTAAAATGCATGATCTGTTTGGTATTTTGAAAAATAAAAAGTATAAATATGCCTTATATAGGTAAGGTCCTACACTATATTATTCAAATATAGCATGATAGGTCCACTTTAAGTAAAGCATGAGATCAGCTTTTAAAGCAAAAGGAAAAAAGCAATATCTAATCTAAAGTTACCAACAGGCCCAAAGTTAGCCAGTAGCTGATCCACTGACTTTAGGACAAAGCAATAGCTTCTGACTGATTCCCAGTGTCTCATTACGAACAGCTCTGGGCTTTCTCTGCTGCTTTGGTCCCGATGTCCTCATTGCTGATTCTGCTCAGCCGAGCGTGATAGAGTGCGACTTTCACTCGCGATCTCATTTTGTTCCCACGTGGCTCGGATTTGTATTGAATAAGAAGGAGATCAATGCTACATTTTGTTCTGTTCACACTGATTAGAAAACGTCGGTTTTTCATGTGAGGGAAAATCAGCACTGGGACCTTTTCAAGTTGTTGAAACTAAATAAGAGGTGGGAGAAGATCTGGTACTTGAGTAAAAGTAGAAGTACTCAGATCTTGTACTTGAGTAAAAGTAGAAGTACTCAGATCTTGTTCTTGAGTAAAAGTAGAAGTACTCAGATCTTGTACTTGAGTAAAAGTAGACGTACTCAGATCTTGTTCTTGAGTAAAAGTAGAAGTACTCAGATCTTGTACTTGAGTCAAAGTAGAAGTACTCAGATCTTGTACTTGAGTCAAAGTAGAAGTACTCAGATCTTGTTCTTGAGTAAAAGTAGAAGTACTCAGATCTTGTTCTTGAGTAAAAGTAGAAGTACTCAGATCTTGTTCTTGAGTAAAAGTAGAAGTACTCAGATCTTGTTCTTGAGTAAAAGTAGAAGTACTCAGATCTTGTACTTGAGTCAAAGTAGAAGTACTCAGATCTTGTTCTTGAGTAAAAGTAGAAGTACTCAGATCTTGTACTTGAGTCAAAGTAGAAGTACTCAGATCTTGTACTTGAGTAAAAGTAGAAGTACTCAGATCTTGTTCTTGAGTAAAAGTAGAAGTACTCAGATCTTGTGCTTGAGTAAAAGTAGAAGTACTCAGATCTTGTTCTTGAGTAAAAGTAGAAGTACTCAGATCTTGTACTTGAGTCAAAGTAGAAGTACTCAGATCTTGTACTTGAGTAAAAGTAGAAGTACTCAGATCTTGTTCTTGAGTAAAAGTAGAAGTACTCAGATCTTGTTCTTGAGTAAAAGTAGACGTACTCAGATCTTGTACTTGAGTAAAAGTAGAAGTACTCAGGTCTTGTACTTGAGTAAAAGTAGAAGTACTCAGATCTTGTACTTGAGTAAAAGTAGAAGTACCAGAGTGTAGGAATACTCTGTTACAGTAAAAGTCCTGCATTCAAAATGTTCCTCAAGTGAAAGTAGAAAAGTATTCTCATCAAAATATAGTGAAAGTAGCGACAGTAAAAGTAGTCATTGTGCAGATTGGTCCATTTCAGAATAATATATATGATATGTTTTATAATGATTGATCATGAAAGTGTTCTCAAAGCTGGTAAAGGTGCAGCTAGTCTGAATGACTTTGTATACTGCAGGGTAGCTGGTGGATTTACTCCAGGTGGAACTAAAGTCTGAACCTGTCTCTGCGGTCCTGCCTTGGGTCTCGTCATGCTGCTTCCCTGATGGCTTCCTCAGGATTGTAGCTGACATCCTCGTGGATTCATCTTCTTATTACAGACACATGCATTTCCTAACATTCGGTCTATATGCTGTAAAATGTATTATCTCTTTGATTTACACACGGCATCTATTGCACGTCTGTCCGTCCTGGGAGAGGGATCCCTCCTCTGTTGTTCTCCCTGAGGTTTCTCCCATGCTCCCTTTAAACTGTGGGTTTTCCTTGTACGATGTGAGGGTCTAAGGACAGAGGGTCTAAGGACAGAGGGTCTAAGGACAGAGGGTGTCGTTTTTTCTCATACTGATATTCTGAACAATCTGTGCTGTTGTATTTGCTGTAAAGTGTCTCTTCTGTAGGCTATTTTTATCATATGTACAGCACTTTGGCTCTACCAAAAATCGTTTATAAATGTGCTATATAAATAAAACTTGATTTGATTTGATTTAACACTTGATTATATTTCACATCATTCATCCACATCTGCACAGTAACTAAAGGTAGTACATACATGTACAGTAGTGGAGGAAAAGTACACCATGTACCTCTGAACTGTAGAGGAGTAGATGTTCACAGTAGCATAGCATGGCAGTAAAGTACCTACAAATTCTACTTAAGTGCAGTACTTGAGCATATGTACTTAGATACCTCCCTCCTCTGAGCATAATGCAACCCGACCTTGTGTAAAACAGCCGCTCCACCTCTCCTTGACCCCAGGTGGAGGAAGAGTGCTGTGTTTGTGCTTCATGCAGATATGGAGAGCGATGAGAGGCCAGACTCACATGGCCCCATCTGAAAATGACTTTCTGACAGCTAGTCGATACGCTGCTACTCCCCCGCTAAAACTAACGGCTGATTGAAGCTTCATTATACTCTACATCGTGGTGGAGGTGTGTGTGTGTGTGTGTGTGTGTGTGTGTGTGTGTGTGGCAGTGAGAGTTTATGGGAGGTTAGGGCTACTGCAGTAATAACTTCAAGGGGACAGGTACGCACACACACACTCACACACACACTCACACTTTGCTACCTCATTAATTAATTAATATCAGCAGGTAGTGGAAGTAGTGGTGATCACCTCTAATGAAGACACAGAAGTGTTAGCTAATGTTGGGTACACAATGTGCTAATTAACAAATGTTTGTGTTTGTAAGGAGGGGGAGGGGCAAAGGTATACATTAGGGCTGAGGGCTCAATCAGAAAAAATGACCAAAATAAGATGCTAAATTACCACAAAAATGAACACAGAGACTCAAAATGATTACAGACACAGAAAAACAACCAACAAGGGACAAAAATGACAACCTACAGACTCAACATGACCACAACAAGGCATAACACACACACACACACACACACACACACACACACACACACACACACACACACACACACAACACACACACACACACACACACACACACACACACACACACACACACACACACACCACACACACACACACACACACACACACACACACACACACACACCCACACACACACACACCACACACACACACCACACACACACACACACACACCACACACACACACACAACACACACACACACACACACACACACACACACACCACACACACACACACACACACACACAACACACACACACACACACACACACACACATCACACACACACACACACACACACACACACACACACACACACACACACACACACACACACACACACACAATATGAACTACTTCAATATCCATAACGCTATCTAGATATTTAATTCGGCATAATCAGATTGAAATACCATGCAGTATACATTATTTTGGTGCAGAGTTGTTTCGGACTACAGATCTTATTCTGCAGGATGTTTAGGAATCAAAATCTGAAACCTTTTTACTCTGTTTTTCAATTTAAAAGAGAGAAATGCTGAACCTTCTTTCCCTCAAATATTGTGAAACATGAATTGATATTTCAGCGACTGGTGAGTCCTGTGTGAATGCAGCAGGTGCCGCTTGTTGGACTGTGTTGTAGGAACTGGTTAGCTCCTCAGTGAATAGCTTCGGGAAACAGTTGTTTACCTCCAAATTCATCGCAGAGCCGTGCTCTGTTTTAAAACATCTTGAAGACCTTATGCTCGGCTGCTTTCTGTTAGGGCTGCTCAATTAATCGTATTTTAATCGCAATTACGATTATGGCTTGCAACGATTACGAAAACAACGTAATCGAAATAAAACGATTATTTTTTTCAAATGATATATTTTTAAATTGGTTTTTCAGTTGAGTTATTCTTAAAGTTCAGGGTAATCAACTGTTAAAAACATACTGTTCAAACAAGAATTCTCTATTAAATTGATGTTTTCAAAGTAAATGGATAATCGTTTTTAATAATCGTGATATACAATTATTGACCCAAATAATCGAGATTATGATTTTTGCCATAATTGAGCAGCCCTACTTTCTGTCGATTTTAATATAGTTGTTCTGCTATGGTAAATGTTCTTTAATGGCATATTGATGGAAACATTTATAATTCAGAAGTAAGGGAGTTTCTGATGGGGCAAAAACAAAACACCACCTTATTGGAGATGTGAAACCAACTGAGGAGACATGTCCCGCTCTTTTAATAATTTTTTAATCACAAACAGAACATTTTGTACTGTTAGTAAGCGGTGAAATACCCCACAATATGAAAGCTTCTTCCTCAATGAACAAGAGATCATTTGTGTTCTGGTACGACTAATTCAAAGTTATGAATATCTTTGTCCAATAATGCGGTGACTCTGATTCATGACTCCATCTCATCTCAGAGAGTTTACGGAGATAAATAGACAATAAGAGTCCGAGCGGGAGGCGATCTCCTTTCACGCTCCATCAAATTACTCCATGGACTCAGATTTAGGGAGGCGACCTCTCAATGACACCTGCTCCATTAGCAGCACCTTGCTCAGTAATTGAGCTCTGGGTGGGTTGTTAAATGGCTTTAATCAGGTTTTGTTGGGACCTGAAGAAGCAGACGATTTGTCGGGAATAACGTGGGCTTTAATGAGATGTGTTGATGTGGTGGTGGTGAGGTTCTTTCCTCGCAGTGTACAGAGATGGCAGAAGTACACACATCCTTTACTCAAGTAGAAGTACAGATACTCGTGTTTAAAAAGACTGGTAAAAGTAGAAGTACTGACTAAACTTCTTTACTCAAGTGAAAGTAAAGAGGCTTTGAAATGTACTTCAGTAAAAAGTACCCATAACTAGCAGCTGTTTTAAAGAGTACCTGACCTCCCTTTATATTAATAGAACAATAATGTCATTGTTAGCTAATGAATGTTTCCATGCTGAACAACGGCAACATGACAACGTTTCCATTGGTCCCTCTTCTTTAGAGAAGACCAGGAAATGATGGATACACGGATCGTGTTCAAATCAATAGACACGCAATGACTCTAAAGAATAATGATCACGCATCAAACACACATTCAGACTAAAGGAACCAGCTGTTTGGAAAATGAGAGAAGTAGAAAGTACAGGTATTTGTGTTCAACATGTAAGAAGTAGAAAGTACAGGTATTTGAGTTCAACATGAAAGAAGTAGAAAGTACAGGTATTTGAGTTCAACATGTAAGAAGTAGAAAGTACAGGTATTTGAGTTCAACATGTAAGAAGTAGAAAGTACAGGTATTTGAGTTCAACATGTAAGAAGTAGAAAGTACAGGTATTTGGGTTCAACATGTAAGAAGTAGAAAGTACAAGTATTTGAGTTCAACATGTAAGAAGTAGAAAGTACAGGTATTTGAGTTCAACATGTAAGAAGTAGAAAGTACAGGTATTTGAGTTCAACATGTAAGAAGTAGAAAGTACAGGTATTTGTGTTCAACATGTAAGAAGTAGAAAGTACAGGTATTTGAGTTCAACATGTGAGAAGTAGAAAGTACAGGTATTTGAGTTCAACATGTAAGAAGTAGAAAGTACAGGTATTTGAGTTCAACATGTAAGAAGTAGAAAGTACAGGTATTTGTGTTCAACATGTAAGAAGTAGAAAGTACAGGTATTTGAGTTCAACATGTAAGAAGTAGAAAGTACAGGTATTTGAGTTCAACATGTAAGAAGTAGAAAGTACAGGTATTTGTGTTCAACATGTAAGAAGTAGAAAGTACAGGTATTTGTGTTCAACATGTAAGAAGTCAAAGTAAAAAGTCATCAGAAAAACAAGTAGTGGAGTAAAGATACCAGAACAATGTACTTAGGTACAGTAACAAAGTATTTGTACTCCACTACTTCCCACCTCTGAATATGGATACTCACTGTGGGAACTCTGGGTTGTAGAGAGTGGGCTGAAGGATGCCGGCAGGGAACACTGGAAAAGAGATTCAGAAAAACACCATGAGGGAAGAGGAAATGCCTAGACAGGACTTTGAATATCACACACTGGTTTTGAAGTGGGAAAAGTTGTTTTGTATAAATATCAAAGTTCCTCTCGGGAAAGGAAAGTTTGAAAGGAAGTGTAAAACACCCAGAAATACATATCTTTCTGCACACAGTGTGACAAATATACAAATCAGTCTCAATGGAAACACAAAGTGAGAAAACAGAAATACAAAAACACTTGTAATTATTTAAATTAATACAACGACACAAACTGACTACAAAAAAGGACAACAAAGACCAAATATTACCAACATGTTATGCTGCTGCAACACAAACATGTTCCCAAATTGTGATAAATCAAGTAACACCTTATCTTATCTAAATAAGTAAAGACAAGTTAAACAAAACGGACAATATAGATGTTGAATGACTAAAAGGAGAGTTAGGATGAATTATCATGAAGATTATGTTGTTGTGTTAGTTTTGGTTTACATAATTTTAAAGTAGAAGTACTCAGATCTTGTACTTGAGTAAAAGTAGAAGTACTCAGTTCTTGTACTTTAGTAGAAGTACTCAGATCTTGTACTTGAGTAAAAGTAGAAGTACTCAGATCTTGTTCTTGAGTGAAAGTAGAAGTACTCAGATCTTGTACTTTAGTAGAAGTAGAAGTACTCAGATATTGTACTTTAGTAGAAGTACTCAGATATTGTACTCAGATCTTGTACTTGAGTAAAAGTAGAAGTACTCAGATCTTGTACTTTAGTAGAAGTACTCAGATCTTGTACTTGAGTAAAAGTAGAAGTACTCAGATCTTGTTCTTTAGTAAAAGTAGAAGTACTCAGATCTTGTACTTGAGTAAAGTAGAAGTACTCAGATCTTGTTCTTGAGTAAAAGTAGAAGTACTCAGATCTTGTAGTAAAAGTAGAAGTACTCAGATCTTGTACTCAGATCTTGTACTTTAGTAGAAGTAGAAGTACTCAGATCTTGTACTTGAGTAAAAGTAGAAGTACTCCGATCTTGTTCTTGAGTAAAAGTAGAAGTACTCAGATCTTGAGTAAAAGTACTCAGATATTGTACTTGAGTAAAAGTAGAAGTACTCAGGTCTTGTACTTGAGTAAAAGTAGAAGTACTCAGATCTTGAGTAAAAGTACTCAGATCTTGTACTTGAGTAAAAGTAGAAGTACTCAGATCTTGTTCTTGAGTAAAAGTAGAAGTACTCAGATCTTGTAGTAAAAGTATAAGTACTCAGATCTTGTACTTTAGTAGAAGTACTCAGATCTTGTACTCAGATCTTGTACTTTAGTAGAAGTACTCAGATCTTGTACTTGAGTAAAAGTAGAAGTACTCCGATCTTGTTCTTGAGTAAAAGTAGAAGTACTCAGATCTTGAGTAAAAGTACTCAGATATTGTACTTGAGTAAAAGTAGAAGTACTCAGGTCTTGTACTTGAGTAAAAGTATAAGTACTCCGATCTTGTTCTTGAGTAAAAGTGGAAGTACTCAGATCTTGAGTAAAAGTACTCAGATATTGTACTTGAGTAAAAGTAGAAGTACTCAGGTCTTGTACTTGAGTAAAAGTAGAAGTACTCAGATCTTGAGTAAAAGTACTCAGATCTTGTACTTGAGTAAAAGTAGAAGTACTCAGATCTTGTTCTTGAGTAAAAGTAGAAGTACTCAGATCTTGTAGTAAAAGTATAAGTACTCAGATCTTGTACTTTAGTAGAAGTACTCAGATCTTGTACTCAGATCTTGTACTTTAGTAGAAGTACTCAGATCTTGTACTTGAGTAAAAGTAGAAGTACTCCGATCTTGTTCTTGAGTAAAAGTAGAAGTACTCAGATCTTGAGTAAAAGTACTCAGATATTGTACTTGAGTAAAAGTAGAAGTACTCAGGTCTTGTACTTGAGTAAAAGTGGAAGTACTCAGATCTTGAGTAAAAGTACTCAGATCTTGTACTTGAGTAAAAGTAGAAGTACTCAGATCTAGTACTTGAGTAAAAGTAGAAGTACTCAGATCTTGTACTTCAGTAAAAGTAGAAGTACACAGATCTTGTACCTGAGTCAAAGTAGAAGTACTCAGATCTTGTACTTGAGTAAAAGTAGAAGTACTCAGGTCTTGTACTTGAGTAAAAGTGGAAGTACTCAGATCTTGAGTAAAAGTACTCAGATCTTGTACTTGAGTAAAAGTAGAAGTACTCAGATCTAGTACTTGAGTAAAAGTAGAAGTACTCAGATCTTGTACTTGAGTAAAAGTAGAAGTACTCAGATCTTGTACTTGAGTAAAAGTAGAAGTACTCAGATCTTGCACTTGAGTTAAAGTAGAAGTACTCAGATCTTGTACTTGAGTAAAAGTAGAAGTACTCAGATCTTGTACTTGAGTAAAAGTAGAAGTACCAGAGTGTAGGAATACTCTGTTACAGTAAAAGTCCTGCATTCAAAATGTTCCTCAAGTGAAAGTAGAAAAGTATTCTCATCTAAATATAGTGAAAGTAGTTACAGTAAAAGTAGTCGTTGTGCAGATTGGTCCATTTCAGAATAATATATATGATATGTTTTATAATGATTGATCATGAAAGTGTTCTCAAAGCTGGTGAAGGTGCAGCTAGTTTGAATGACTTTGTGTACTGCAGGGTAGCTGGTGGATTTACTCCAAGTGGAACTAAAGTCTGATTTAACACTTGATTAGATTTCACATCATTCATCCACATCTGTGTAAAGTCTAAAGGTATTAAATACATGTAGAGGAGTAGAAGTACACCATGTACCTCTGAACTGTAGTGGAGTAGAAGTACAGTACAGGTTAATTTGAGTTTGAGAAAATAAATACGCAGCTCAGGACTGAAGTGAGATAACAAAGTGTGTGGGTGGTAATAAAAACGTCCGAAGGCTCTGTGATGACTGTGTTTCTCTGACTCCCCTCGTCCTCTAGCATCCGCCAGCATTGATTTCTCTGCGAGAGGTTTAATCCAGCCGGCAGACAGCAGGCCAGATTTGTTAAAAGGCGGGACAGTGTTACTGCTTGTTTTTCCTCCAGGGGGGTATTAAGTATGTGAGGTGGAGATTGAAGTAGAAAGTGAGTGATGAGAAGGAATATGATATGAGGAGGTGGACGCTTTTTTCTCCTTTTCGACTAAGCGTGGCTGACATGACTTGTTGAAAGACAGACGGGAAAACATGGTGTAATTACGTGTAACGAATGGCCAACAGGGGGAAGGATTGGGACCTTCTTTTAGTCTTTATTATTTATCTACCTTTATATTGTCTTCAAGCATTTTATCTTATTTTATCAATCCAACATGCTTCAATAGAAATGTTTATTTTTACGTTGGTCTTTTTTATTTCTTAATCGTTTAACCTTTATTAGAATAATCGGCACTATCTATGGATGGATAGATGGATATATAGATAGATAGATAGAGAGAGAGAGATAGATGGATAGATAGATGGATAGATAGATGGATAGATATATAGATAGATAGAGAGAGAGATAGATGGATAGATAGATAGATGGATAGAGAGAGATAGATGGATAGATAGATAGATGGATAGATAATAGATGGATAGATCGCTAGCTGGCAATAATAGATACGCTAGTAGCTAGCTGGCTCAGCTAGCTCGATCTAGGCTCTCGCTAGTAGCTCGCTCCCCTGGCTAGATGGCTCCCCCATGGCTCGCTTCTCGCTGGCTCGCTAGCTCGCTCGATCGCTCGATCGCTCGCTGGCTCGCTCTCTCGCTGGCTCGCTCGCTCGCTGGCTCGCTCGCTCGCTCTCATCGCTGGCTTCCGCTCGCGCGCTCGCTCCGCCTCGCTCGCGCTCGCGCTGTGGCTCGCTCTCTCGCTGGCTCGCTCGCTGGCTCGCTGGCTCGATGGTCGCTCGCTCGCTGGCTCGCTCGCTGGTCTCGCTTCGCTGGCTCGCTCGCTTGGCTCGCTCGCCTGGCTCGCTCGATCGCTGGATCGCTCGCTGGCTAGTTCGCTGGCCTGGCTCGCTAGCTCGCTCGCTCGCTCGCTCGCTGCTCGCTCGCTGGCTGCGCTCGTGGCTGGCTCCTCGCTCGACTCGCTCGCTCCTCGCTGTCTGGCTCGCTCGCTGGCTCGCTCGCTGGCTCGCTCGCTGGCTCGCTCGCTGGCTCGCTCGCTGGCTCGCTCTCTCGCTGGCTCGTTCGCTGGCTGGCTCGCTCGCTCGCTCGCTCGCTCGCTCGCTCGCTCGCTCGCTCGCTCGCTCGCTCGCTCGCTCGCTCGCGCGCTCGCTCGCTCGCTGGCTCGCTCGCTGGCTCGCTCGCTCGCTCGCTGGCTCGCTCGCGCGCTCGCTCGCTGGCTCTCTCGCTCTCGCTCGATCGCGCGCTGGCTCGCTCTCTCGCTCGCTGGCTCGCTCGCTCGCTCGCTCGCTGGCTCGCTCGCTGGCTCGCTCGCTCGCTCGCTCGCTCGCTCGCTGGCTCGCTCGCTCGCTGGCTCGCTCGCTCTCGCTCGCTCGCGCGCTGGCTCGCTCGCTGGCTCGCTCGCTCGCTCGCTCGCTACGCTCGCTCGCTCGTCTTCTCTTTTTCTTTGTCTTTCTGTTGTACCTGTCTGTCCCCTTTGCTTTCTGGGGTTTTACCCTTTGCTCTTGTTGCCATCGCTTCCGTTTTCTTGTGTCTTCTCCGTCCGCGCGACACCCTTATTTCTTTTCTTTGTCTTCTCATACCTTTCCCTCCTTGTTGTCTCTTCCCTGCTCCCATGTTATATTTTGCTGCACGTCACATTCTTAACAAGGGGAGTTTCTTGTTGTGTAATTATAACGTGTCATGTTGTAAAGCACTTTGAGCTGCAGGTGCTATATAATTATTATTATGTGTGTGCGTTGAAACAGATGATAGAGAAAACCCAGATATCAGTATGCGCGAGGAAGAGTCACGCACTCACCCATTTGATTCTTGTTAGGGAGGTAGTAGGCATTAAGGGCCTGCGGGGGGAGAAGCCACCTGAGGACAATAGTCACAAACAAACAGGGTTAGATGGGAACACACACACACACACACGGGAACACACACACACACACACACACACACACACACACACACACACACACACACACACACACACACACACACACACACACACACACACACACACACACACACACACACACACACACACACACACACACACACACACACACACACACCACACACACACACACACACACAACACACACACACACACACACACACACACACACACCACACACACACACACACACACACACACACAACACACACACACACACACACACACACACACACACACACACACACACACACACACACACACACACACACACACGAAATCTTGCCAAGTATATTTGTCTGATATCTAGTCAGAATATTTCTTTACTCCTGATATAAGACATAATAACTTCAGAAGTCACACTGCAGTGAGATATCGGGTCTTGTTTTTAGACAATGCATCATCTTGTTAAGTCTTATTTCGAGTTGTATCTCAGATGAAACACATATTTGTTTACATATTAGAAAATCACCAACTAACATCAGAACACAGAACACTTTTGGCTTATACTGTAACACAACATTTCCTGATTCTGGGAAAATATAGTTCAACATTAGTTTTCCAGCTAAATACAAGATCTGATTTATCTAAATCACCCATCTCAATCAAGAACATCTTACCAAGCACATTTTCACTTGCCGATTTTTGGATTATTTCAAGTGAAAACAGCTTGTTTTCATTATTGTTTAACTTGTTTTTGGAGCAGCATATACTCAAATCACCAAACCACCTACTCGAAACACACCCTGATCCTGAGCAGAATCCCAAACACTTCCACCTATCTCTTCCTATAAACCCCCTGGTGTGAGATATTCAGTGTGTGTGTGTGTGTGTGTGTGTGTGTGTGTGTGTGTGTGTGTGTGTGTGTGTGGTCCCACGGCTGAAGCTCCTCCCTAAAACCACGGACAGTTCCTTCATGGTAATCCACTTGAAGCCAGATCGATTGGCACAAAATCCCCCAAATGACAAACTCTTAAAGTGTGAGATGCCCTTGTTCTTGGAGTGAAAGATTGATGGCTCTGCACTGACTGTAGAGAGGTGGAGGGGGACAAAGCATAGAAATAGGAATAGTGTAGAATGGGCATACTGTACCTATTCTAATAAACACAGCAGGATGTTATAAGCAGGCGCAGTCTTTGTACCGTTGTAATATGCATCCGGAGTATAATGTTATGAAGCTACGAGAGCTAAAGATGAAGTCAGAATCAGCTGTCCAAGTAAGTGTGAACCATACAAGGAATTTGTCTCCAGTAGTTAGTATAATAAAAAACACACACAGCTTTAATGCTACCAGCTACGCTCGACAGCTATTGAATTCCACCATACTGTAATGTACTCAGACAATGAGTTTTAAAGTATAGGTGAATTTAGCTAGCTATAAAGCTGACAGCTGGCTAGTTAGCATATATTTACAGTGCTTTAATACTATGCTACAGGGCTGCCAACAATTAAGTTCAGCTTGGAGTGAGTTTTTTTTTTGGTGAACTGAAAAAAGAAACGTTCATGTGTACAGTGTTACAAATGTATTGAACATGTACAAACTTACCTTACGAACTTGAGTCCCTTGCCTCACTGAGCTGTATCTCTCTCAGTCTGACAGGACAGAGCTCTCCCTCTCCCTGTTTTAGAAACAGCTTCTAATATCTGTTAGCGCAGCTAGCTAACCAGATGCTAACAACAACAATGCAAATAGTGAGTTTGGTAGAAATATGCTGTATAATAGTAAAGTTATTGAAGATGATGCCATAGTTATTGAAGATTTTACATTATAAATATTCCCCCAAATTATTCAAAAGCATATTCTTCCAAACTCCTTGCTGTAGTAGGACACACAGGAGACTATTGATGTGTGTAGTGAGTTTGGTAGTAATAAGCTGTATAATAGTGATTGAATATTATTGTATTCTCTTTTTTCGGAGTTGCACTTTGCAGACGGTCCCTGAGCACTCGTTTTTTCTCCGGCTGCGGATAGAGACCAATGTAGGCTAATGTGTCCAGCTCGGAGGACGGCGCGGCTTTTTTTGATCAAAATGTGATTGTAGTTCGTTGTCAACCTTACCACGGTACTTAGGAGACGTCATTTGTGTCTGAATAACGTTTTGTTCATGAGTTATTGATCCGTGAAATCTCCCAATATCGTTCCAACTTTACTGAACGAAGCCAGAAGACCGTCTCATTTCGTAGACCGCTCGGTTTGCTGTTCCTTCACTTTATTTTTATATTTATATACATTTATTTTGGACGAAAACTTAGCGTGAGGAAAGGCAAGTGTGGCGTGAGTGCGTGAGATATGGGTTAATTGCGTGACTCTCACGCTCAATGCGTGAGTGTTGGCAGCCCTGCTATGCTAGATAATTAGCTAATACCACCATGCTTCAATGCGTACAGACAACGAACCTTTAAGCATTGTATAATTATTTAGCTGACATCGGGCTAGTTACTTAGTCAGACATTAGTTTTAAAGTATGATGGAGTTATAGCTATCTATAGCAGAAGCTGGATGGATATCTAGCTGATTCACCATACAATAGGGCTATAGTAGTTGCTGAAATTAACAAAACAAAGAGTGGTGGCTAGCAGAAGCACTTGGTCTTGAAGGAGAAGCTACGCAGCTAGCCATCTAGAGCTGTGTATACACTTTGCAGCCCAACAGATGTGTGTTTCTACCACGAAAACACCCTTTCTTGTTGTCAAATGACCACAGAAAACAGTTCCATTCTACTCTGAATCCATTTCTACGAGCCAAACACCGGGAGGAGGAGAAGTGTTTCTGTATTTTAAATTCACTACACAAGATAGTGTGAGTGATGAAAGGTTGACTTTTTGTTGATAAAGGGGGGGAAATGTGATTTAAGTCTTCGGGGCGTTTAGTGTGGGCTAATGATACAGTAGTGTTGGGCACCTTTGAATACTAATGCGACTCTAATGTGTCACAGCAGAGAGGCACTCCATCCAGGAGTACAGGGCTGTGTTTTAGAAAAATCAACCGCATGTCCCACAGCACTATCCTGCTGCCTGGCTGCTGCAGATAAGTAAATCAAATGGATTTTCTCCAGCTGTGTGCGTCGATTTAGTATCTGTTGGTTTGATTTAAAGGCGCATCAACAAATATGTCAAACTAAAAAGGGATTAAAAGGGACACATGTTATGCATGTCAAAACACACTAGAGACACACTACAGCGCGCAGTTTGAGCCTCAGCTGCATGATTTAAAACACAATATTAACCTACTTGTAATTGCTTTGCACAGAGTGTCCCCACGCTATGGTCATCATGTATAATGTAAGCAGGTTTCACACTCACGCCGTCTTGTCCACTTCTTGACGGATCTTCTGCACTGACAGCTTGATGTTGAACTTGATGCTTCTGAGGATGTTCTTGAAATAGGTCTTCTCGTCCACTTCGAACTGCAAAGAAAATAACAAAGATATCATTATATAGTAGTATAGTCAGAAATGATGTTTTTAATGGGTTTGATGTGTATGTTTTTTAACAGATTGGCAATTGGTGGGTAGGTGTAGCATTGACAACGGATGAATCCATAATCCAAAACACAGGGCAGGTATATCGATTCTTTGTCCACATATGGACGGAGAAAGTTCTCAAATATTTTACAATGCCAAAGTGTAGGAAGGATCAGTTACAAAAAGAAACCCCAAAAGTACCAAACACAAAAGGGTGTCACGATCCTTATGTTTGAGTTGTGTGTGTCTAGGGTTGGGGTTATTGTGCTGTTCTGTTCTCCCTGTCTCATGTTTTCTCCTTGTTTCTTGTCTGGTCCTTCTCCCTGTGTTTTCCTCCATGTCGTTAGTTTCCCTGGTGTGTCTGATTGTGTTCACCTGTTGCCCTTGTGTATTGTCTGGTCCTTCTCTCTGTGTTTTCCTCCTGTCGTTAGTTTCCCTGGTGTGTCTAGTTGTCTGATTGTGTTCACCTGTTGCCCTTGTGTTTCTCCTTCCCTGCCCGGCTGTTTCTCGTCTCGTGATTACCCCTCCCTGTATTTAGTCTCTTCCTGTGTTCCCCTGTCGGTTCATTGTTTGTTTGTCTTCACTTCACGTCACGCTTCATGTTTGTCTCTCCGGTCTTCCTCCATGTTTCTCACGGTCAGTTTTTGTGTTGTTGTTTTCCTGTGCTACCGTTTCGAGTTATGCCATGTTTTAGTTATCAGCTTTAAATAAAGCTCGCTTTTTGTTTCTAGACCTTTTTCCATTTTTGTAGTCTGCATTTGGGTTCTACTTTTTCCACAATCTAACAGAGATCATAACAAAGGGCCTGTTGTGCACAATGGCCCAGATTGATATCGTATATTATAGGATGTACTTGATGCTTAAGTAGGTTAATCAGGCCTACTTTATATCGCGCTGGGAAGCTTCAGAAGATCAGAAACATATATTATAAAATTACATGAAGAGTAAATTATTGATTATATTTTGCCTTATGTTTTTACAAGAAAGGGCATCGAGAAACAAGGTAGTTGGATGGATGGGTCCTTTAACAATAAGAATTTCCCCCAGAATGCCGCTGGTCATACAACCCTGTGAAACCATCGATATATGTTTCAGTACAACTTCTATGAAACGTCTATATTTTTATTTGTACCCAAACCTGACCAAGTTCCTCCCTGTAAAGACAGACGTTTTTTTGAAATACTTAATGTATGTAGTAACAAGTAAACACTGACATGTATTTCTGGACAATAGGAGAAAGCACCAATAATAACTTTTCGTACACAAAAGGAATAACCGCATGAGAACACGTGTGTTTGTTTGAACCCAAAACACGGGAACCTCCTACAGTATAATTAGGATACGTCAAACACAAAGGACGCATGCATGATCAAATGGTTATATTTGGTCAATCGACCGACACAGAAAGACAAAGTGAGTAGAATGAACGTGAAATTCTCATTATGCCCTAAATTATGCATTCCCAGTATTTCCCTGTAAACTGCAAACTAAGCAAGTCTGATACAAAAATGACCGTCTGCTGCTTATGAGCAAACACACCATAACCCTCTTGAGGAACTTACCTTTATGCTTAAGGGTAAATATTCTACCTTTGATTGGATTTGGAGAATCTTTTTATCATTTCTCGAGCAAGAAGCAGCCTTTTTATGAATGTGCGACTTCATTTGACCTGTATGCTTATTTTCTTTCATCATATGTTCATTTATTGGGACTCGATGAAGTAGCTTGTCAAACAACTTTGTAGGAAGATGCCCTGATGTGTATGTGGAGTAGAATACACACATAATTGACACTGAAATCTTCATTTTGGATGTAAAACAATGCAGTTTTGTTTTATGGGAACGTCCTTTCTAAAACACCAGGCTGCCCCTTTGATCCTTAGATGAGTTAATCACCCAGGTTTCAGGGTAACGTCTGATTTAAAGTGAGTGATACCAGACAGTAGAGAGGGAAATAAGAGGATCATGACTCACCCCGTATTCCTGATCTATGAGCTCAGGCTTTAGCAGGAAGTCTGGGTATCCTGTCATCACCATCATGTGCTTCAACTGGAAGAGAAGGAGACGACAAAAGGTTCAACCCCAGGATCGAGACATTCTTATGTGCTTCAGGGCTGAGAGTATGGATGCAGATTTGGTCTTTTCATATCCTTAAAAGTATGTAATGTCTTGTTGCTTTGTATGTCTGCCCCTGGACTTTGTTGCATGTAGAATGTATGATATTGAATAGATGAATACAAACATTTAGGAAGAAGAGAGTGTGATGGAGGACAGGACAAAGTATACCCAACATCCACTTCAGTAACTAATACACACACACACACACACACACACACACACACACACACTAATCAAGCAAAACCCGATGTAATAGGATTACAAGGGAAGCTCTTTATATTCCGCATGGTCCTCTAAAAGGATTATAACTTCAGATTGTAAAAGTATTAGAGGGGATATCTTGCCGTGCAGACCCTAAATCAGAACCACAGAGGGATCGGGATTAGGAGATCCCCACTTCTCAAAGTCAAGCCCGTGATGTATTCTATCACACACTTCCATCTAACCAAAGCATCAGGAACTGCAAAGAAATCATAATCAAATCCTTTTTCAAATACTAATCGGATCGGGCAGGGAGTCGTGTGTTTGGGGATTCAGGAGATTCAAGATTCAAGGCTTTTATAGAGCGGTGCAGGGATGACGTGTTTACCCTGAAGTAAGCTGCTGGTTCCCTCGACACAAAGCGATGGGATTTCTCCACAGGGTTTTGGAAAATAGCTGGAAATAAGGTCTGTGGAAAACGAACCTGTTTGATAAATGCACGTTTTGTTCAGCCGGATAATCTCCACATGTCTACTTTTATAATGTTCTAATCATAAATCTAATGTCCAGAAGCAAAATGCTAACGTTATGCTATAAACTTTAAGGAACTACAGCCGAGTCCAGCAGCACGACTTCAACGTCACGCCAACTTCAGATCCAGATTCAAACTCACAGATTCTAAATGGAACGAGTTGAAGTGTTTGTTTGAACACTCTGCAGGAGGCAGGGACTTGCTTTCAAGCAGAACAGAAACTAACTTAGAGGAGTGTTTACGTGTTCGGCGTAATGACGTACAACGTCCTCCACGACTTCTGTAGTCCTATTCAGCCACTTGGTAACAACCATCGTTTTTTCAGACACGTCAACTCTTCAGAAATCACCAGTGGGGTCACTGCTGATGATTTAATGTCCTAGAACAAAACGTGATACGTGTCTTCAATGTGTCTCAACCACAGACCTTAGTTCAGCTACTTTCCTAAACCCTATGGAGAGATCCCATTGGCTCTGAGACCAGGGAACAGGAAGTGGTGAATTGCTGACTCACCTCCTGGTTTTAGGACTCGTCACTGCACCGCTCTATAGTCATGTGTACATATAGTGTAGATGTATCAATGAACATCTGAGGTCACAGGCTCATCCAACAGTACAACACAAAAAAACAGATAAAATAGTGAAAGTGAATACAAATAAAATAGAATAGAAATATAAATTAAGAAGGTAAGAGGGGGGTTTGGACCTTTTCTCTTGCTGCATCTCTGGTGGCTTCGTCCATCCAGTCCAGCTCCTGCAGACGGAGGTCCAGAGAGAGCTTTATCTCCTCCACCAGCTCCTGGACCTGCAGGGGAATCAAAATGGAAGAAGTTTTAAGTTAGAGGAAGATCAGCCGGTGACAGCTCAAGGAGCCACGTTTCAATTATTTCAGATCTATAATTGATCAATGTTAGACTAATATATCAGTATGTAGTGTCTCTACTACATACTGACATGAGCATCAGCAGGAGAGGACTCTTTAAAGTAGAGACACTACATACTGATATACACCTGAACATCAGCAGGAGAGGACTCTTTAAAGTAGAGACACTACATACTAATATACACCTGAACATCAGCAGGAGAGGACTCTTTAAAGTAGAGACACTACATACTGATATACACCTGAACATCAGCAGGAGAGGACTCTTTAAAGTAGAGACACTACATACTGATATACACCTGAACATCAGCAGGAGAGGACTCTTTAAAGTAGAGACACTACATACTGATATACACCTGAACATCAGCGGGAGAGGACTCTTTAAAGTAGAGACACTACATACTGATATACACCTGAACATCAGCAGGAGAGGACTCTTTAAAGTAGAGACACTACATACTGATATACACCTGAACATCAGCAGGAGAGGACTCTTTAAAGTAGAGACACTACATACTGATATACACCTGAACATCAGCAGGAGAGGACTCTTTAATGTAGAGACACTCCATACTGATATACACCTGAACATCAGCAGGAGAGGACTCTTTAAAGTAGAGACACTACATACTGATCTACACCTGAACATCAGCTGGAGAGGACTCTTTATAGTAGAGACACTACATACTGATATACACCTGAACATCAGCAGGAGAGGACTCTTTAAAGTAGAGACACTACATACTGATATACACCTGAACATCAGCAGGAGAGGACTCTTTAAAGTAGAGACACTACATACTGATATACACCTGAACATCAGCAGGAGAGGACTCTTTAAAGTAGAGACACTACATACTGATATTCACCTGAACATCAGCAGGAGAGGACTCTTTAAAGTAGAGACACTACATACTGATATACACCTGAACATCAGGAGGAGAGGACTCTTTAAAGTAGAGACACTACATACTGATATACACCTGCACATCAGCAGGAGAGGACTCTTTAAAGTAGAGACACTACATACTGATATACACTTGAACATCAGCAGGAGAGGACTCTTTAAAGTAGAGACACTACATACTGATATACAACTGAACATCAGCAGGAGAGGACTCTTTAAAGTAGAGACACGACATACTGATATACACCTGAACATCAGCAGGAGAGCACTCTTTAAAGTAGAGACACTACATACTGATATACACCTGAACATCAGCAGGAGAGGACTCTTTAAAGTAGAGACACTACATACTGATATTCACCTGAACATCAGCAGGAGAGGACTCTTTAAAGTAGAGACACTACATACTGATATACACCTGAACACCAGCAGGAGAGGACTCTTTAAAGTAGAGACACTACATACTGATATACAACTGAACATCAGCAGGAGAGCACTCTTTAAAGTAGAGACACTACATACTGATATACAACTGAACATCAGCAGGAGAGCACTCTTTAAAGTAGAGACACTACATACTGATATACACTTGAACATCAGCAGGAGAGGACTCTTTAAAGTAGAGACACTACATACTGATATACACCTGAACATCAGCAGGAGAGCACTCTTTAAAGTAGAGACACTACATACTGATATACACCTGAACATATTGGTAGCTTGTGGTGGTTGAAATTGTGTATTCATACTGTATGTATGTACCAGATATACACCGTAAAACTATAGAAAGAAATTCCCTTTCATCAGCCGGGTGGTTGATAAATAAACACAGGTCTTTATTATACGTTTGGTAACTTATGTCAATATAGAGATGCTACACACCCTTAGTGTAGTTTACCGAATGCACGCACCCTAAGGTGTTATTCATTCAGATTCAACAGCCAGGTAAACAAGAGAGACTCAAAACTGTGGTCTTAACATCAGAAAAAGGGTCCATTTACTCTGTTCAAGGCCATCCATCATATAAAATAAAAACATGGTACAGAGAATAAAGATTATCTCAGAAAGAGATTATTTATAATTGATAGATAATTTGATAGCACCATTTTTTATAATAGTAATATTAATACTGGTTTAAAAAAATATCACTTCAGTCATATTTAGACTGAAGACAGTTAAACCCAAATGATTTGCCATGCCATGATGATTGAGATGTAAAAATGTCTCTATTGAACGTAACCCAAGGCCAAATCGTCCAAAATCAGTGTTTCCTTCTGTCTGTATTTTTTGAGCAACATTTGCCGTCCAAACTTCCAAGAAACACTCTAACTTCTCAAACTACTGCAAACACGTCTCCCACTCCTAAAAGACGCCCGGGACACGATACACCTCTACATCGGAGATTCAGGATAACAAGAGCAACCTTTCTTTCCCGCAGAGTTTCCCGTCACTCAGCTCCAGCTCCTGAGACTCATTAGTTTCTGCTCACGCTGAGGAAAGCAGCATCCGGCAGTCAGTCAAGGCCGAAAACATGGCCACGAAACTACAGGTCCGATACCTCTCAAAGCTGATAATGAGGTCTCCAACCTGTGGACATGCCAATGCCTTGCAGACTAAATCCTAATCAATGTGAGGTGATCAGTGTGATCCACACCACCAGAATGACATAACCCAGCGTGAGACTTTCTAAACCTGCCAACGTTGGACAAGTGTTTAGAAAAGTACATCGAGTCAAGAACTGTGAAAGTATAATTGGAGATACTTGGAACAAAGCAAAGGTCCAAAAAATATAAAGCAACTCGGACTGAATACGTTCTGCACACCTTTTACTTTCTTTTGTACTAATTGGAATTTCAGTTCTACAAAAACTCAAAATCTTGCCAAGTATATGTGTCTAATATCTAGTCAGAATATGTCTCTACGCCTGATATAAGACATAATAACTTCAGAAGTAACACTGCAGTGAGATATCAGGTCTTGTGCATCGTCAAAAAGTCTTATTTTGAGTTGTATCTCAGATGAAACACATATTTTTTTACATATTTATCAGAAAATCACCAAAACATCAGACAACTTTTGAGTATTTGCGTCTTATATTGCAACATTTCCTGACTCAGGTTAAAAATGAGTTCTCCCAGTTAATTAAAAGGTCTGATTCATCTAAACATCCCGTGTTATTTCAAGAAATCTTATCAAGCACATGTTCACTTGTTCTATTGGCAGATTGTTGTACTTATTTCAAGTGAAAAATTCCAGTGCAAACTCTGAGGGAATATTTCTGTCTTTAATCCTAGATATTTAACCTTTTCTGTGTGTTGACGTTTACGACCAACCCTGGCTCTGTTATCTCTCTTAAGGAATGGGAGGCTCCAGCTATCTTGATAAACCAGTTCAACTCTCGGTCACGAAATGGTTTACGGCTGTGGGAACGCTGGCTTCGAGGCCATTAAGGGTCAGACGCAAGTGATTCAGGGTGCCCAGCTGTTTAGTCTATCTCCCCAACTATGTTGTTTACTCTCTCTGAACTAGTTAAAAGGGCTATCGAGAGAGAGGCACGTCAGATTTGACATGGCAACCCACCAGGACAGTCAGAATCTCTGGCTGTGTGACTTGTGATGTGAATTTCTCCGGCCGATACTTGTAAATAAATATCATTGTTTGACATCAAAGCTCCAACTCTCCTCGTGTCTCTCTGAGTCCTGACTCTCCATTGCTGCAGAAGTTTCCCTTACAAATTGGGTTAATTGTTCTATTTAAGGTTTTAATAAGTTATTATATTTACTTTTAACAATGCTTCAAGTTAGTGGAGTGTTTCTGATTAATTAAAAAATATAAAGGAGAGACCCTTAAGATGTAGTACAGTACCGCAGAAGAGTTAAATGTACAGTATTTGTAGTGGAGTAGAAGTACTGGATGAAGTGGAAATACTAAAAATGATACGTGAGTAATTGTTATATCGCAATCTTTGAGGTCCAAAGCTCAGGTCCGAAAAGTATGAAGCAACTCGGACGCAACTGAATATGTTCTGCACACCTTTTACTTTCTAAGTACTAATTGGAATTTAAGTTCCCGAGCTCTTAATTGTTCTATTTAAGATTTTTAATAACATATTTAACTTTCAACAATGCTTCAAGCTAGAGGAGCGTTTCTGATTAATTAAAAAATAGAAAAGAGAGACCTGTAAGATCAAACCTATAGTACAGTAGAAGTATTTGTAGTGGAGTAGAAGTACTGTATGAAGTGGTAGAAAATTGATATACTTAAGTAAAGTACAGTACCTCAGGTCCAAAAAGTATGAAGCAACTCGGACACAACTGAATAGTTTCTTAAGTACTAATTGGAATTTAAGTTCCCAAGATCTTAATTGTTCTATTTAAGATTTTTTTATAAAATATTTAACTTTTACAGTAACAAGTTAGTGGAGTGTTTCTGATAAATTACAAAATAGAAAAGAGAGACCCTTAAGATCACACCGTACCGCAGAAGAGTCAAAAGTACAGTATTTGTAGTGGAGTAGAAGTATGAAGTGGTAGAAAATGGAAATACTCAAGTAAAGTACCTCAAAATTATACAATACTTGAGTAATTGTTATCGCAATCTCTAATTAGAAGCCACTTCATCTGGCTACACTTTCTTTATTCTTGAATTAATCAGAAAAGCTTCACTAGCTTGAAGCATTGTTGAAATGTACACTCAGTATCTTATTAAAATCCTTAATGGTGAGATGAGGAGCTGGGGAACTTATATTTCAATTAAGGCACAGAACGTAGAAAGTAATTAACGCAGAAGCTATCCAGTTGTGTCAGGTTTTTTTTGTGTTTTATAGTCCTGAGCGTTGGCGGAGATTTAAAGCAAAGTAAAGAGAAGACTAGAGGTATGATGAAGTTGGGCAGAGATGATAAAAGTACACACATCCTGTACTCAAGTAGAAGTACAGATACTCGTGTTTAAAAATACTCTGGTGAAGGTAGAAGTACTGACTAAACTTCTTTACTCAAGTCAAAGTAAAGAGGCTTTGAAATGTACTTCAGTAAAAATACCCATAACTAGCAGCTGTTTTAAAGAGTACCTGACCTCCCTTTATATTAATAGAACAATAATGTCATTGTTAGCTAATGAATGTTTCCATGCTGAACAACGGCAACATGACAACGTTTCCATTGGTCCCTCTTCTTTAGAGAAGACCAGGAAATGATGGATACACGGATCGTGTTCAAATCAATAGGCACGCAATGACTCTAAAGAATAATGATCACGCATCAAACACACATTCAGACTAAAGGAACCAGCTGTTTGGAAAATGAGAGAAGTAGAAAGTACAGGTATTTGAGTTCAACATGTGAGAAGTAGAAAGTACAAGTATTTGAGTTCAACATGTAAGAAGTAGAAAGTACAAGTATTTGAGTTCAACATGTAAGAAGTAGAAAGTTCAGGTATTTGAGTTCAACATGTAAGAAGTAGAAAGTACAAGTATTTGAGTTCAACATGTAAGAAGTAGAAAGTACAGGTATTTGGGTTCAACATGTAAGAAGTAGAAAGTACAGGTATTTGGGTTCAACATGTAAGAAGTAGAAAGTACAGGTATTTGAGTTCAACATGTAAGAAGTAGAAAGTACAGGTATTTGGGTTCAACATGTAAGAAGTAGAAAGTACAGGTATTTGGGTTCAACATGTAAGAAGTAGAAAGTACAGGTATTTGGGTTCAACATGTAAGAAGTAGAAAGTACAGGTATTTGTGTTCAACATGTACGAAGTAAAAGTAAAAAGTGGTCAGAAAAATAATTAGTGGAGTAAAGTACTGATACCAGAAAAATGTACTTAAGTACAACAACAAATTATTTGTACTCCACTACTTCCCACCTCTGGCGTTGGAGATGAAGAAGAAAGTGAAGGAGAGATGATGGAGGGATTAAGGAAGGAGAATGGGGTTAAAGAGGTTAGAAATCCCATTGGGAACCATATCCCCATGTGCTATAGTTGACATGAGACGATGGGAATACATATGAGGAAGGATTAAGGTGAAAAAGAGGGTGAACAAAGGTCAAAGGTGGCGGATTAGAGGTGACTAACCTAGGCAGAGAGGAATATAGAAATACAAAAGTTTCAGTGATAGAGAAGTATACAGATACAGTTCTGATTGGCTTGGATCATATCTCCAGACCCCAGTAAAGGAATCAATCAAAACCGTTCGGCCATGTCCACATACACAGCTGGAACCTAGAGAACGCATAAGAAGTCAATGGTGAACTAGAAAATAAAAATGAAAGAGCTGTCAGTAAAAAAGAATGGGGTTGATTGTTGTGGAAACTGTGACGGTTCCAAGATCACAGATGTCCTGGATGGCTGTAAAATATTTTTGTAGTCATAACTATAATTCTCCGGCCACATTCAAGTCTGTCCAACATGTCCGTACTCCATCATTTCATCCAATTAGACATCTGTGTGGAATTTGTTGTGTAATAAGCATGCATTTTTTTGGGGTCTCGCTGTAATCAGGATTTGTGAGGTCATAGGGATATTTGACAACCAAAATGTAAGCAGTTTGTCCGTTCGCACTACTTCCCACCTCTGAACAGCAGGGGTGGTTCTAGGGGGGCAACACTGACCAGGTACCCCCCTGTGGCCCCCCTAACCCTAACCCATTGGAACTAAATAAAATCAGAGACCCGGATGTACAGTGGAGATTAAACTGTTCATTACCTTATATAAAAGCTAATACTGTTTTTTTAATTACATTTTCACCTAAAGTTACTAAAACAAATACTCTTAATCAGAGGTCTCCAACCTTTCTTCAGCTACTCTAAATGAAAAAAAATACTGAAACAAAGTACTGTAACTTAAAGGTGGGGTAGGTAATTTTGGAGAAACCAGCTTGAGTGCGCTAGAATTTGAAAATACACAGCCGGATAAAATCTGCCACTTCCTCACAGAGCCCCTCCTCCAACACACACGAACGCGCACATGACCAATGAGGGCACGAGATAAGTTTGTGCCCAGATGGAAGGCTGACAGGCAGGTAGGCCATCCAGTTACTTTAGCCGGGCCGGCTCAGATGATTGGTCGTGTTTTTTACAGCACCACGGCTTCCACAGATGAACTTTTTATGGATTTTTTTGTCAGAGCACTGAAGATATTCATTGCTATCGGGACATTAAGAGCATTCCATGGAATATAACAAAAAGTGTTTCTGAAATAAATGACATACCCCACCTTTAAATGTACTAAAACAAATAACTTTACAAAAGAAAATACCAATTACTGTATTTTATGTTTAAAATACAATACAATTACTTTATACTGTCTTTGTCTTTTCAACCAGCTTGTATTGTGCATGAAGTAACTGACCCCAGCCTGGCCCCCCGGTAAAATTGGTCTAGAACCGCCACCTCTGAACACTCATCTCATTCGACGGTCAACCCTCCGTAAGTAAATCGCCTGCTTACCTTTGCTTTGCTCTGAGAGGAGAAGTGCTGCTGGACGAACAACGCTCCCAGCGCCATGCCAAAGTGTTTGTTGGCCTGCGTGAGGCAGAGGCGCCCGAGCTCCAGCTGCTGCTCCGTGCCGTCGATCTCACGGGAGAACTCGTGGATGGTGCTGCGAAAAGCCGTGGACAGGTGTTCACTTAGAGCCGCCACTATGCGCCACAGCATGTAGTTATGGAGAACCCTGGGAAATAAGGAGACAAACAAGAAGAAGGACGTCACGTGTCAGTTACAATATTTGGTTAATGTATCTAAATACACTTTTAACAGCTTTGCAAAACCCACATAAGAGGATAGGATAGGAATTTCACAGAGGCCTCTTTGCATATTTAAGGCTAATGCTGGGTCTCTTCCAAGCCCCTAGGAAGTGCTCCGGATTCTGAGGAAAATATTCGTAGTGGCCAAACGGCGGTACTACAATTTCCGTGACGTCACCCAGCCAAGAAGATTTTTTTAATTAAACCAAATAAACTTCCCAGTATGAACAATTGTATAGACCTTAATCGAATCAGTCTTTAAAGTTGTAAAATGCACTAAAAACCGAAACCAGATTTTTTTTTCTCGGGGGCGGGGCTTAAGGGGCAACTCAACTGTGCATGCTCTATCCTCTGACAGCAAGGCATGATGGGTAATTTGGGACGTTTTGCTCTAGAGAATCTCAGGCCATTTTGTCCTCATGCGCCAGTGAGCAGCTCTCATATGAATGAACGAGACATAGCCTAGCTTTAATGTTTAATCTCGCACACTTCCTCTTGTGTTTTTCTCCGTAAAGTGACATCTACACTGTCTCTGTAACTGTAACCTCGCTCCATCTGTTCTGTTTTTCCATCTGCCCTCGGAGAGTTGGAAAAGTTTGAGGCAAAACAAGAGCGAGAGAGAGAGCCAGTGATGGAGAGGAGCGAGTGGTGAGGAGTCAAGAGGGTTTAAAACCTCTCCCATCCAGAGTGAGTCACAGCAGAAGGGGCGAGGAAGATGTCGTGCGGGAGGAAGGCAAATGGATCATTCATCTATGTATTCAAGCTGTGTCTTCCCCTCCAGACGATGGAGCTCTGGTGTGTTTTCTTGCCCCCGATGGTGCTCACATCCACTCACAAAATGCCCCCTTCTCCCACTGCGAGGCTCCATGCAGACCTCGAGGCATGTTGTTGTTATTTTCCCCATTTTTATATTTTATTTTCCCGATATGCATGACAGATATTAAATCAAAAGCGCCTTGGCAACAGCACCCAGAGGTCCAGCCAAAAAAGCACTTGTGAAGTGAATGTAATTGACGGGAAAAGGGAGGGAAAGGGGAATAAATGAATGAGAGACTCAGGTGTGTCCTTGATCGTCAACATGTGTTACAGGTGTGTCTGCTCTGCATGATTTGATGCTTTATGTCCTCTCGTTTGTCACCTGTTTCATGCAGATTACTCGTCCGTGTTGTCGTGTGTGTGTGTGTGTGTGTGTGTGTGGGTGTGTGTGTGTGTGTGTGTGTGTGTGTGTGTGTGTGTGTGTGTGTGTGTGTGTGTGTGTGTGTGTGTGTGTGTGTGTGTGTGTGTGTGTGTGTGTGTGTGCAGCTAAATGCATGGAAGTCATCTATATGATAATTGTAACACTACAGTGTTTCTCTGTGTGTGGGAGAGATGAGTGACATTTTACTCAAGGCAAAAATAATAACAATTATTTTGTACGTTCTCAGGTTGTATTGGGGGTACCTTTTGTTGTGTTTGAATTTCCTAATATAAACGTGTTTGTCATAAAACGTATTTCATGCAATGTGTGATATAGGTTTGACACAGTCTCTCACTTGTTCTTTTTAAATCTGAGAGTTTGATTGTCTCTCCTGTGAGTCCTTTCCGTTGTTTATCATGTGGCATTAGTGTGTGGAGTGTTGACGTGCAAACATCAACTGAAATTGATTAAAAAGTCATTCGTTTTTCAGATATAAATATATTATATAAAGTATAAAAAACACGTCGACCAAACCAAACAACGGTCATTTTGGTTATATGTTAAGAACTGCTTTTATTTTAGGTGTTCACAGAGTCATAACGTGTACTCTGTAATGGTTAAATCACATCATGGTTGCTCACAGGATGATGTCAAAGATGTATTATATAGAGTATTGTCATATTGTCGAAAGCTTTGACCTGATGATGGCCAAACATGTTTGTCAGTGAATTTGACGATCAGGCGTCAAAAACGAGATAGATAGATATTTATTTCAACATACAGTGATGTTTATCAGAATTAGGTTCATTGCCAGGTACATTAATACATACGGATGATATATAAAATATACTAGAATATAAGTTAAATCTGGAAAATTTACATTTTGTAATGTAAAAAAAGGTTTACAAGAAATACAAAATATACAAAAAATAAGTAAAATTAAGAACAAGACGTATAATCTGATAAAAAAAACGAGTACAATTACCCATAACTACTTCCCACTAACCCCCATTTGGAAATACAGTAGTCCCGATGATAAACCCTGCTGTCTCTTCTGAAGTAACTGACTCGTCCAAAAGAGATAAACCATTAACATTTGTTTTCAGCTCCGTAGTAACTTCCCCTCAGGCGTAAATCTCCCCCTCCGGGTCACAGGTTTACACATCAGCGTTCACTTTGTTCTGTAATGGAGTCACAGCGGAGCTATGTGAAGATCAGGCAGTCGGTGTTAATCACAGCGCACTGAGTGAAGGCTCATTAGCTGAATGGATCTTAATGGGGCTAGTTAGAGCGATGAAAAGACGCCGGGCTCTTTCTCTGCACCAACACATTAACACAGGTAATGATCCTGGAGCTAATGGAGGAGGGAGGGAGGCCTCTGTACTCCACAAAGTACAGTTGAAACGTGTAAAGTGCACATTTGATATGTTAAACTAGAATGACCCCTTCACAGTCAACCTGTAGTTTACATACAAGTGTGTCGAAAATGCCCAAAAATGTAAGGTCTGGGATTTTTAACCACAAACATGTAGTGATTTCCACCTTTAGTCAAAGAAAATGCTCCCGTAACGACTTGGAAACTAGGAAGCAAAACTATTGATACCATGGATACTGGAAACAATGAGAAATACAATTTGCCCAAACTTGACCTTATTGTGTGTGTGTGTGTGTGTGTGTGTGCGTGTGTGTGTGTGTGTGTGTGTGTGTGTGTGTGTGTATGTGGTGTGTGTGTGTGTGGCCTAGCATTACTATACTTGTGGGGACCTACATCTGTTTACGCAGTCACGTGTGGGGACTCGGGGACAAAATGGAGGTCCCCATGAGGGGAATCATTAATGTTAGGGTGAAGACTTGGTTAGGTTTAGGGTTAGGGTTAGGCATGTGTTGGTTATGGTTAAGATTAGGGTTAGGGTAAGGGTAAGGGTTAGGCATGTGTTGGTTATGGTTAAGATTAGGGTTAGGGTTAGGGTAAGGGTTAGGCATGTGTTGGTTATGGTTAAGATTAGGGTTAGGGTAAGGGTAAGGGTTAGGGTTAGGCATGTGTTGGTTATGGTTAAGATTAGGGTTAGGGTAAGGGTTAGGGTTAGGCATGTGTTGGTTATGGTTAAGATTAGGGTTAGGGTAAGGGTTAGGGTTAGGCATGTGTTGGTTATGGTTAAGATTAGGGTTAGGGTAAGGGTAAGGGTTAGGGTTAGGCATGTGTTGGTTATGGTTAAGGTTAGAATAAGTCTCCAGGAAATGCATGAAAGTCAATATAATGTCCCCTGAAGTGATGTATACATAGTATATGTGCGTGTGTGTATGTGTGTGTGTGTGTGTGTGTAGAATGACCTCAGTCAACCTGTAGTTTACATACATGTCTGTCTAAAATGCCAAAAATGTTATAATATCAGTGATTTTTAACCACAGACATGTAAGGATTTTCACCGTTAGTCAAAGAAAACGCTCCCGTAGTTTCGAACGACGACGCAAAACTCCTGATACCATTTGTGTCTCATCTTATGCATTGTTTTGTTGCTATCTGTTGTCACATGGATAAAATACAACGTACAAAACATCTTTGCCATGTCTTAAATGGTTTATTTCTGAACTCACAGGGCTATTTTTATATCACAAGTGTTGCAAAATGCACAATAAGTACCTGGATTGTGCACAAATGTTCAAAAAGTTGTGTAAACGCTGGAGACTTTACACTAAACAGTGGTTATATAGCAAGTGTGTGTATCTCTAGAGAACACAGCACTACTCAAATTAAAGTTATACATGTGTGTTTTCACTATTTAAGTAACATCACTATACTGGTGTCGAATGAATGCCACTGTTCATTTTAGTGGGTTAATTAAGCAACCTGTATTATTTGGTACTGCTAACAATAAAGTTGCTATCTAGCTAGCAAGCTAACAGCGGCGAATGTCACTTTGTTTGAGGACATGCAGTGTACTAGGAGAAGTGTCTGAAATAAGACACAGCACTTCTTGGTAAAATGTAAAGCATTAGTGCTGGATTCATTTGGTGTCAGAATAATATGAAGAATGTTCCTCCAGTCTGACAAATAACTCTGAAACAGAGACGGTGTCACTATGATGTTAAACACCGAGCAATACAATAGTTGTTTCCACATTACGACGATCATGGACACACTGAATTTAACCCATCGGTCTAGTTATTATTATCGTACACTGAAGCCCCCCTAAATAAACACGTGAAATTATAGACTTTGGCTAACCCCTTTATATTGCTCAGGAAAAATAACACACACCAGATTCCCACACACACCGGAGAGTGATGGAAGGAGCAGACGGAGTGTGTGTGTGTGTGTGTGTGTGTGTGTGAGAGACGCTGGTGTTGTCATTATGCTTTCCCCTTCATTGGAGGCCTGTTCATCTGGCTAATGGGATTGGCTGCAGTCATTGCAGAGTGAAGGGACTACACACACACACGCACACACACACACACACACACACACACACACACACACACACACACACACACTGTGGAGGAAGAAGGAATACAAGGAAGATGAATGAGGGATAAGAAGATGGAGGTGTGTGACGGTTTTTTTCAGTAAACCAGAAGAGGAGGGGGAAGTACTCAGATCTTGTACTTGAGTAAAAGTAGAAGTACTCAGATCTTGTACTTGAGTAAAAGTAGAAGTACTCAGATCTTGTACTTGAGTAAAGTAGAAGTACTCAGGTCTTGTACTTGAGTAAAAGTAGAAGTACTCAGATCTTGTACTTGAGTAAAAGTAGA